ATAACAATTAAAATCAATACAAGAGAGTAAACTTAAATGGCTGCTGACACTGTGCATTGCACCATTTCATATTTCATAAAAAGAAAAAATGTTTTTTGCACCATCGCAGTGACCAACAGTCATACAAATAGTTGTAGTAAAATAAAATGGATGGAGTTATACGGTCTTAGATTCATTAAAAACTTAAAATAACTGGCAATATAGAATTCCAATACAATAGCACAAGGAGGAAGCCTTGAAAACCTAAGGCGTTGCAAAATGTCTTTGAATGATATCGAAATTGGAAATGTCTATCGCTTAAAGTTACCCATCACTGAGGAAAAGTGTAAAGATTTAATAACATTTTGCAACAAAGCCATCACTCCAATCGAGTTTCAAGAATATAAAAAACAGGAGACTGACATTGAGGATGAAGACGAATAAGTAACATTTTTTTGGCATTTTCAATAAATGATTCAGAATCGGGTAATTTATTTTCCTTCTATTAATATTAGTTGAATAAAGAAATACATGAAGTCGCCCCTGACACATCAAAGTTTGAAAATGCCAATTTTTAACAATTAAGTAGTTTGTTGTAATAAAAAATGTGATTGTAAAAAGAAGCCAAGTGAGATTTTTCTCTAAATATTAAAATGTTTTTAAAACAAAATAATGTCCTTAGTTTAAGCTGTTAATATTTTATTATATCCAAAAAAGGTTTGTTAATCATTTGTAATATATAAAAATTTACAGAACATAACAATTAGCCAATTTTTTTATTTACCTTTTACTGTAAAAATATCTACTTGCTAATTAGCCTATTCTTACAAAACTGAGAAGATATGTAAAAAGGGTCCAAGTGATAGAAGGATTTTTTTTGAATATCAATCATGCAAACAGAAATAATAATATTACACAATAATTGTCAGTTAGGCCCCAGTCATATTTGCCTTGCAATTTTGATTTATAACAACACAATAATGTAACTATTCCAATTTACAAACAAATCTTAGTTGGCCCCTCTTACAAAATAGGAATGATATATATTTGAAATAAATGTTATCAGTAATGTTCTTCTTATTGTGATTTTACTCTAACAGAAACACTAATATTACACAATATATAAGTCAAGCATCAAACGCCTTTTAATAATCCGAATAATCTTGTTACTCGTGTATCATTAAATGATAAAACCACAAAAATCCGTTGTGTCTTTCAACAGACGATCAGCACTGAATTGGGTGAAAGCCAAAAAACGCTCTACTAAGCTAAATTTTAGTGAAACTGTTACGAAAATACAAAGGATGAAATAAACATCTAGCACAAGTATTTTAAATATTCAAGATTATCTGTAAAGGCACTCATTTTCTTTAAAGACTTAACAATTTTAAACATAAAAGTTGCTGAGTTTCGCTTCTGACAGTACGACTTGGATGCGTGACTTTTAATTAGAACAAAATTAGGATGATATCGATAACTCTGTAAAAAACGAAACAATCACAGTGACTCAAATTTAATATTACAATATAAATTTGAAAAGCAGATTGAATACCAACGAAATGGAAGTAATTTCTAGAATAAGATGTTTTTCCTCCAAGCTGCTGTTATGCTGAATAAATCATTCTTGGCTCAATCATTTTACTGCTGGATGATAAAAGTTCAACTTCTGAAATCATAAATATTTAGTGTTAATAAAAACATGGCAAAAGAAATAATTTAAAGTTTTAGGGCCGATCTTTTCACCTCTGAGTAAAGTTACATGTAACTTGACAGATTAACAAACAATAATATCCCTATAGTTTAATCAACTTTACTCAGAGGTGAAGAGATTGGCTTTCAGATTAAAAATCATGATTCGTATACTTTTCTTACTGATAGGAAAGTAAAAAGGAATCAAGCTCCCTCTAAAATCATTTGTAATAACATAAAAAGGTATAATCCTAATCCATAAAATTATTTTAGTCTCAATATTAAATATAAGACATCTGCGATCAAAACGGACTTTTAATTTTTTTTAAATATTATAAATTAAAAATCTAAAATGGTTTCTACAATTAGGCATTCTTATATTTGCTATTTTTGCATGGTTTTTACAATTTAGGACTAAAATGACTATGGCAACCATTTACACCAGTGACAAATCAATCAGAGTTTACCAGAGATAACAGAAGATGTAACTACAAACAAATATTGTGCTAAAATAATTCAACCCATTTTATTCCAACTGAACCCAAACATTTTTAAATCAATAGTTATATCAAATTTAACTAAATTAGATGCAATTTCACTAAATTAGATGTAATAATTTTCAATAAATTCCAAAACCAAGTTGGATATCAAGTATTTTGTACTAGTTGTGACAACAGAGCTTGCAAATTTGTATAGGCTTGCATTTTGTATGCTGTTTATTATAGGCGTACAACGGCTTACACATATATTAATTGGTAAAATTGTTTTGTACTGCCCTCAAATCTTTCTGTTTATCCCTTCCCTTACCTCACACCTTATGTTTCTTCACTCTTGATCTACAACTGCACCGTATCAACTGTGTTATCAATGTCGGCGTCAAAAATATTATATTTTATCTCCTGTGATCTCTGGAGCATACTATTCAAAAAATTTCTCTGACTATAAGAAATTTGGATTTAAATGAAAAACAACAAACTAAATACATGGACGTCCAATGCAAAATTTGAATTTTGCACCTCCCAAAATATAATTATTATTAGATATAAAATTAGTTAATTATTTTTAGAATAGAAACAATACAGTAATTTTAAAGTGCAAATAAAGTGGTGGATTATAACAAACTAAAAATCAATTCATTTGAACCGGATTCACTGGAGTTTCAGTATTCTCCAAAAAGTCTAACACCAAGCTTAGCTATGTAATAGGAAGACACGCTTCAGTATTTCAGGCTAAGGTTTATGTAATCTTACAATTTTGTAAATAGTAAGAGAGCTATCGAAAATAAACATCCAAATAATGTAAGGCCACATTATAGTCAGTCAAGGCTGATATGAAATTACTTCAAAGAACTGAGATCACTGGCAACCAATATAGAATAAAACCAGTTTGGGTGCCAGGTCATCAAGGGATCAAGGGCAATGAAATGGCTGATGAATTGCAAAGAGAGGATCTGTAGAAAAAATAGCAGAAACAGATAGATAAACCTTGGGAGTACCAAAAAGTAGAGTTTGAGGTTTCATAAATGACTGTGTATGAAGAAAACACACACAACTAATGGGATAAGGTCCCAAGACAAGTAAAGTAGAGCATTGATAATCCAGACTGTCAAAAATCCAGATTCATTATGATGAAAAAAAAAAAGTTTAAGTGAATACATACATGCATTTTTGTCAAACAAATATGTTGATGCAACAGGCTGAGAAGGGTCTTCATATTAATTAATGAGTTTATTTATTTGCTCAATTATTTAACTACAAAAGTGAATAATTAACAGTTTTAACATGTTTTCTTTTTGTTATGAATTCAAGGACCTCTTTTAATTATTTTTGAAAATGTGAACAGGGTCTGGTCACAATTATTTTGGATTATCAGTGTTGTACTGTACATGTGTTTAGAAGCTAAGACATATGTTTCTTTATCCCTATATTTACTATAGAATTTAAGATATTTGTTACAATAATAATAATAATAATAATACAATAAGTGATTAGGTCATACTGTTCATCCACATAACTTCTCACCTGACATCAAACACAGTTTTCATTGGTTATCATCCCATTATCCACTTCCTGTTCGGACCGGTATTAGTGGAGAAGTTTCTAAAATAAACTGCTATCACACCATCGAACCCTTCCTACAAGATGAGATCAAATTGACCATATAGCTGACTGACCCATGCATGCTTGACTTTGCAGTTTGAGGATTACTATTTACCGTCTCTCCGCCAAGACCTATAAAAACATTATGTTGATTTATTTTACATATATCATAAACTGTGAATTTTATCAACAGTCAAACAGTTCAAATGTTCAATGTAGACAGAGGCAAGCATAGATAAATTAATAAATTATTAATTTATCTATGGAGGCAAGTGAGTAAAGTTTATCTGTTTTTGGGTAAAACAAATTCCTGATAGTTTAATGACTTCAGTGTATCAATTACAATGCATAATTAAGGAGTTAAAGCACTATTAACTAACGACGAAGTTATTTTTCTAAAAAGTTTGTCAAAGGAGATAGTATAAGATACATACAAGAAAGACCATTCGCCTTACTAAACACCACCCTTAAGGGGTCTATTCTGTAACAATTCCTATTTAAACGGACCTTTAAAATACATTAGAGGACTATCCATAGATTGGACTATCTTAAAGAAATCTGTTTAAATAATGACAGAAGTAAATTTACGAATACGAACATATTTTTATAGGCCGCCAATATTTTTAAATGCCGTTAAATATAAAGGAATTAGGCATTCCAAACAAATGAATTACCAGTGGGCAGGTTTAATATATCTAAGCGTGGCGACATATGGTGTACTCTATCTACTTTACGTAAAATCATGAATAATGGATTACATTTAAATATTTTATGTCAAACACAATAAAAATAATATTTAAAAAACCCACCTATACATTTCTTCATAAATTGGCAGGCTTGGCGACTACTACTTTGAATAAAAATATCGTCCAAGTTGCAAGACTATGTCGCTACCCCCTTAGATATACAAGAATTTCCCACTGGCACCTATTGTTTGACAGGTCGTTGGAATGCCTAATTGGTTACAGATGCTGCGTTTGAGAATCCACATCGGATGCATCTGAGATGTAGTAAATCTTTGATCACGTGATTCAGTATACGTAAATGTAATGGGACAGATGTGTCAGATGTGGATAAAAAAACGCTCGAGATGTAAAAAATGCATCCGATGTGGATTCTCAAACGCAGCAAGAATAGACCATAGAAATGAATAGACCCGGAGACAATCCAGCGTCTTTCTCTTTATTTTAATAAATCGGCTTCAATTATCGGTTATTCAGTAACCTTCATTCTTTTGGAATAAGAAGTATTAGTTAGGTTAGGTTTGTTTCTTTTATTTATCATTATTTTTAAATAATTTTTTTTTGGAATGCATTTAAGTAGATAAACATTGTGATAAGCCTAATATAAATCAATTTTCTTTCTGAAGAGGAACGGAAAAGCAGCTGGATTATGTGGTTTATTATTTATTTTAAGGTAGATTGCTGAATGATAATTGATTTTGTCACATTTATATTTTTTTGATACTTCAAATTTTGTGACTGATTTTACAAAATAAAGAAATTGGCAGTTTAGAAAACCAAAATAAAACAAGCATTAATGAAATATCTAGTCCTACATTTGTGAAGGTGATATTTGAAAAATGAAAAATTATCTTTTTATAGTAATTATTGGATTTTTATGTATTTTGCAAAGTGTCAAATCTATTGAAAAAGAATTAACAATCTATATCGAAGCAGGTACTGAATCATGTTTTTATCAACAAATAAAAAGTGGAGAAGTTATAGATATAGATTATCAAGTAATTGATGGTGGACATGGAGATTTGGATATTAATTTCCGTTTAGTTGATTCAACAGGAAGAATTTTACTAACTGATTTTAAAAGATCAGAAAATAACCACCGACATGATGCTACAATGGATGGAGACTATAGATTTTGTTTCGATAACTCATTTAGTTCTTATAATACAAAGACAGTGTTTTTTGAATTAATTATAGAAGGAGAGGACAATGGCCAATGGCAATTTGATGAAAATATCAATTTTGAAAATAATTCTCAAGATTTAATTGCCAAAGATGTACATAACATTATTAATAATGTAAGAAGTCACTTAACCAAAGCACGCAACATTCAAGACTTATTAAAATCTACTGAAGCAAGAGACAGAAATTTAGCTGAAGAAAACTTTTTCAAAGTAAATACTTTCTCATTCATACAACTATTGCTCATGATAGTTGTAGGTTTTATTCAAGTTGTTATGGTTAGAAGCCTTTTTGATAATCACTCTAGAGTGCATAAAATTTGGAAAAAGCTGGACATTGCTTCAAGATCATTTTGAAAATGATCAAATACCATCATATTTATTAATAATGCCATATAAAATGTTACCATAAATTTTTCAATTTTTTTTTTTATTTAATAAAAAGTTCTGTATTGAAAATGTTATTAGTTTGTTTATACACTGAGATAGAATAAAGTACCCAACCAGCACACTTTTCTTATAATCTTTGACTTATATAGAACATTCAATTCTTATAAAGGTTTTATATTGACTCATAAATGTAGCAAATGATGCAATTTAGCTGTTGAAAACAAAATAGCACTATAATATTGTTATATAAATATTCTTACAGCATATTTATTATGTTATAAATTTTTCTTACAAGATATACTCAGTATTAAGAACAGCTATAAATCATATCTATAACACCAATTCTTTTTTTAATGCTTTTTGATTTACAACGGTTTTATATTTGTCTTTAGTAGCATTTTAAAGGTAAGTATAAATATAAAAACGTGCAAATTTATAAAGCATGCTGTTTAATATAACAATAAGATATATGTACATTGCTCTCATATGGATAAAATCTTTTAACTAACAGATCCCAAACAGTTCTATTTAAATCAAATTCATTAAAAAATCTATCAACTTCTCAAAAGTTAGTTCCGGCGCACCACAAAATCGTTCTCTTTGGGACAGGTTAAAGTGGTATTTGTATCAAACTTATGGTAAAAAAAAATTTGTTTCTATGTCTAGGAGCAGAGATATTCGATTCCTATTAAATACTCGAAAAATTCCCTTTGGAGTTAATTGACGCCCTATTTGATCTTGCAAATCGTTCTCTTTGGGACAGGTTAAAGTGGTATTTGTACCCAACTTATGGTAAACAGAAAAATTTGTTTCTATGTCTAGGAGCAGAGATATTCGATTCTTATTAAATAGTCGGAAAATTCCTTTTGGAGTTGATTGACGCCCTATTTGATCTTGCAAATCGTTCTCTTTAGGACACGTCAAAGTGGTATTTGTACCTAACTTATGGTAAAAATTTGTTTCTATGTCTAGGAGCGGAGATATTTGTTTCTTATTAAATACTCTGAAAATTGACTTTAGAGTATTGGAGAAATTTGACAAAATGTGCAAAATTCTGATTTTTAAGAAAATTGTTTGCGATATCGATCTCTATAATTTTTGTTTATATATGATTTTTCTAAAATGGACCGTAATGGAAAAATTGGAGGAAGAGTGCTAAATTTAAATTTTTCAGTATTTTCGTTTTCAATGAATATCTATAAGAAAAATGTTTCAGGTAGATATATGTGGAAAATGTATATATTTAGTTTATCCTCTAAACACTTATAGTGGTGCTGCAATAGGTTATACAAAATAACCGGAAAAAGCCTATAATAACTAGATAGGAAAGTTATGTTGGACACATCAGATTTTTATTATATATGTGAAATATCACAGACAGATTGATTTGAAATTTGGCATAGTTACTCCTTTCTCGACGTAGACCCTTACTAAGAACGGATTTTATACACATCACATTTAAAAGATGGAAACGAGGGCTGAAGGTTTGTATGAGAGCATCGATTTTTTTTAAAAGTAGGCACTTGAAAATTGGAATATTGTATTTACCTATCTTAAGTAAATAATGAAGTATTTCTGGGTTTTTACATTTTAAGGGAGGGAAACGGGGGTAAGTCAGTGGCGGGCCCGGTAATCCGGGGGCGCCCGCTCGAGCAAGCTTTTACATAGTAATAACCATAACAAAAATTTTAGGAGTTTGTTACTCTTTTGCTAGTAATTGTCCCTACAGAAATTCAATTACTGCTAATACGGCACACATCAAATCCTATAACTAACCATGCTAATTAAAAATTCACATGGTCTGCTGTAGCTGTGTCTCAACCACAAAATTGCCTGTAAAAAAACTATGCTACCGAGACGATGTCATTTTTGTTTTATACTTTTTTCCTAGAATTACTTAAAATATTGACATGTCAATTGAAGTATTAGTTGAGAGGTTTTTCAATTTTCTGGATATTTATATTGAAAATAAAACTTTTAAACTAGGCTCTTCATATTTAATTATTTTCGAATGAAGTATAAATCATTTATATTTGACGAGTAATTAATTACTCAATTATTCATTATTAGTTTTAGAAAATAACAGTTATCAGACTGTTAAGTGAGAACACAAATTGTACATAGTTTAAAAATTTAATAAAACAATACAATCCTGGAAACGTAACTCTTTATTGCCATTCAATTATATTTTGTACCATATAGCATAAAATGCTCCATTCCAGTTTGTAATTAATACTCAATAATATATGTATTGTCAATGCCTTGAAAACAATTAAACCTAATTATACAGTTTCCCTAGTTTCTGTTTTACAAAATACTGTTTTAGTTGATAAATATTACATTTTCTTAAAGAAATTCTTATAAAAACAAGTAGCATATTGATATGAACACATTTGGAAACCATTTGTTAGTGAGGTAATGGCAGAGCAGATTCCTAGAGATTCACCACATTTTACAATTAACAGAATCTTAAACATTCTAATTACTATTGTTAATTAAGTATATTACATTGATTCACAACACTATTGGAGAAAAAAACTAATATAGTTAGAACGAAATAAAAACATTAAGTACACAAAACGTACCCTGAAATAGTTGGCACCCACTTTAACACCTTAGAAATATAAACACCTTTAGACTAATAAGTGCGCAATTAATGATAATAAAATCTAAAAATAAATGCATTTTCTAAAATTAGTGGTGTCATGTCATTAAAATATGTTTAATGTTAGGGTTATCAAATATCCTCTCTTGCCAAACCCTAGCACTATACATAGTTACATTAAAAACAAATGGATTTCTATTAATGGAAAATGAAACTTTAAGCTTCTACTTCGGCAGTTTCTTTCACTTCTGACTCAGGTTTCTCTTCCAATTTTGCTTTCTTTTCTGGAGTAGCTCCCTCTGCAGGTACTTTATCAGCATCGGCTGTTATTGATTTCCTTTTTACACTTGCTGGTTCTACAAAAAATAGTATAAAACTTTTTCATCTAATTAATAAAATTACAATATGGTAGTTGGGTCTGATGTCATTTTGGTTCCACTGGCATTTAATTCTAACCAAACTTTTAACAAAAACATCAATAAATTTGACATATACATTTTTACTGTTATGGTTTATTTCTAAATATTGTTTACCTGTTATAAAAAATAGTTTAAATGTATATAATTGGTAACTAAACAATTGTATATTTGATGCATGTTATCTACTTACTTTAGGAATATATAAAAGTGAAAAAATGATATAATTTAGGTAAACAAAAATCATTCAAAAAATCTACTGTCACTTTGCCAGTGGAACCATAATTACATCATCACTGAACTAGCGTATAGACAAAATATTATTTATAATATAGTGTGGTAATAAATAATGTTCCTCCATCTAAATTATTACCTTTTGCATCAGCTTCTCCATTTTCTTCAGTTGTTTCCTCTTCTGCGCCATTTTCTTTTGATGCCTCCTTAGGATCTCCATTCTTTTCATCAACAACCTTATCACCATTCTCGACCTTCTCTACAGGTTTTTCATCCTTTGGCTTATCAACTTCCTCTACTGTAGTAGTCTCGCTAAAAGATAATATATTATTATGTGGCTAATTTGTGAATATGAGGAAGTAATATACAAACAAATACTGATAAAACAACCTGATATACCTATCAAGATTAGTATTAATAGTTATTAATTTGCTTTAAAACACTATCACAATTTTGTTATAATTTTGTAAGAATGATGTATGGTTTTTGAAATAATTATAACCAGGTTTCAACCATATAAAAACTTAAATAAGAAATATACATCTGCTGTTACAAGGATTTTATATTGGCTCAGTATTTTTTAAAGGTTGGATGTCTGTTATTTATGGATAAACTTATGTTTATTAGTGCAAAGAGAGAGTGGCAACTTGGCTTTACATTCAGACTGGTAACAACAAATTTGTACTTTCACTAATGTTGTATAGTAAAAGTAGGTAGGTATGTATACATTACAGTCAATGTAAACTATTGCCAGTAAGTAATGGTACTTTTTCATTATACTTTTTACGAAACTTAAAATATAACGTGCATGTCCATACATTTGAAATAGTCCAAAAAATAGGAAATATACCTATTAAAATGTGTAATTGTTAACAGTCTTAAGTCTTAATATTTCATATTAATTATATTTCACAATGCGCAAAGAGGTAGACGCAAACTTTAACTTAACAAAAAACATGAGCAGGTACATGCATAATGTAGATGTTTCAAAAATAGATTTGGTTAAAAATTATAAATTAGTAAAAAGACATTGAATTTTACGAGTTTTTAGCGACATTTCGAGCAAATTTAAAAATAGAAATGAGTTATTTACCTTACCGGCATTTTTTTACATCTTACAACTAGTATCCCGCCATTTTATAGATTTGCTGATGCCGCCGCGAAGACAAAGAAATGTATCTAATAGCGTTATTTCTTCAAAAAAATAATTGTAAATTTGTTTATTACCACTTACCTAGGTTTTTCTGTTTTGTCACTCATGTTTTCGGTGTTTTTTATTAAATAATCCACAAAAAAATATACAAAACTGGGTAGCGTACACGTTGATACGTCTAATCAAAGAAAACGTTGAAAGGGAAAGAGAAAATGAGAAATAACGCTGCAGTGTTGCCAACCCAAAAGTGTTGCAACAAACTATAATAATCGAATTATTAATCGAATGATTTTTAAAGGAAACTTGATTCGACGTTCACTCACGTTCACCCAGTGGGGTCTATTCTGTAAAAATTCCTTTATTCGTTAAAATATTGAAAGCCTTTAAAAATATTTTCGGATTTACTAAATACATAAAGAAATTCGTTTAAATAATGACAGAAGTAAATTAGCGAATACGAAAATATTTTTAAAGGCCGCCAATATTTTAACGGATAAAGGAATTGTTACAGAATAGACCCCACTGGATTTTTTGTTTTGGTATAAAAACAAAGTGAAAAAATGTAATTTTTTTACACACTTAATATAACGATCATTTTTTAATTGGAGTTGTTGTTATTGGCAATGTTTATTCATCCCGCCACAATCGAGGGTCCCGCCGTTTTGTACAAATTTCCGTATCACAGTACGTACATCGTTCCTTATTATTTATTTTTCCACATGCACAACCCAATGCACATCCAAGACCAAGATTTATAGGGGAGTTCCTAAAATTGTTCAAGTTTAAAATTTTGGAACCCCCTGTATTTTGATCGCTTTACATATTAGCTCTGATAGTAGTGTCCTACTTTACCGATATAGTATATCTACATAACGGCTTCATACAACGGCACATGTTTTAGCTGTTGTTTAGCATAAATAATGCGCAACGCGCTACTGTCGAGGTCAAGCAAACATTGCACAACCGTTGTGTTTTATCCTTCGAGCATAAATATATATGCTCGATGGTTTTTATCAATGAACTGGAGTGGGGTAGAATGCTTGTCAATAGGCTTGAGATGCGACTCTATGGGCGAAGACAGGTTATTTTTCATCTCACTCGGGAGTATTTATAACGACCATTTTCTATTTCACTTTGTTATTGTCTGATCCACCAGCCTGTGGATTGAACAATAACAATGTGAAACAGAAAATGGTTATTATAAATACTCCCGAGTGAGATGAGAAATAAAAATGGCTGCGCCCATAGAGTCGCATCTTGTTCAATAGATAAAATATGCACATTAGCTTTCTACCCCACTCCAGTTCATTGGTTTTTATAGATGCAAAATTATTGAGTCGTGTATGCAACCAGTACTACAAAGATGTGTATTGTGTGTCGCATATGTTTAGGAAGTAAACTTGTGTTCAGCGACAGCTTGTAGTAATTTAAAATGGGTAATCAATTTTTAATTTGGTGCTATAATTTACACAATGTCGTATACAATATTATTACCTCGATTAATGTGATTTGTTACTAGAAACGTCAAATATACGCTTAATGTGCAGTTTTTGCTCGATTCATTTGATAGTTTATTTGTAAGTAAGCCCACTGTATATTTCTGGATTTAAACTCACCGATGACCCGTCATGTCCTTGCAATGCTGGTTCAAATATGCCACAAAATTTAACATAAGACAGGACAAAATGTAACGATTGTTTTTACTTGGTCGTTAAAGTTTGCTTTTCGATAGCCAGAATGTAATAACATTGCCAATTTTCGAGAGCTGAAAATAATTTAAATGATCATGAGACGTTTACTGAAATCCGACAACCGGAGATTGATAATTAATTTAAATAATTCTTATATATTACGTACTATATTCAAATTTTTATTTCGAATTCAAATAACATCCAACATCTTCCAATATACCTTGGCACAGGTGCATGTGAAAGCTACAAAGCTGGCATTGGGGCAAGCAGGAAAGGAACAATACCAGCGATGCCAGCCTGGCCACAATTTCAACACGGTCACTCCAATGTGTATATCGTTTATTTAGCAGCAAGCTAATACAAATATAACAATGCAGTAGTCTTAATCTAGGTTAAAAAAACAAAATTAAAAATTACAATAAAAATTTTAAACCAAACAAATAACAACACAATGAATAACAAAAGTGTATTAGCAGGTTCCTACACTACTTCTTGTGTTGTTCTAACATGTACCCTTTTAATTTCCTCTTAATATTAAGCGAAGTAGCATTCTTAATTTCCTCCGGCAGTTCATTAAAGGCTTGAACTCATTTAATGAAAACTGTTACTTGAATTGACACTACTAGCCTGACGTATATGAAAGTTAGTGCAGCTTCTTGTATTGTACTCATGAAATTTAATTTAATTTAAAAAAATACATTGACCACATTTTCTTTTATTCTTTGTATATATATTACATGAAATATGATCCCAAAACCAATGTAAAAAATAATGAGCTGTTATAAAATAACTTCAGCCTTATAGAATAAAGTGTTAATGAATGTCAATATAACATATGTATTGTCAGCAGAAGCAATTTTGAGATGTTGGTGTTGATAAATTCAATTCATTTGGATCTTTAGGTCTTCCACGACGACCAGGAAGCATAGCTCGATCAACTGCAGTCTCTATCCTTGACATCACTCGGTCTACGAGAGTCTCTACAGCTCTATTTACATTTTGACCAGTTGCAGCGCTTGTCTCCAAATATGGTAGTCTAAAAATAAATATAGATTTAAGTTATTTAAATTATTTTTGATAACATTGGTATTTTTTTTTTTTAAGAAAAAGAACTGCTTACTTATTTTGTTCAGCAAATTCTCTGGCTCTCCATTCACTTACTACCCTTCTTTCTTCCATATCTGCTTTGTTTCCACAGAGTACAATATCGGGCACCTCGCAATAGGCATGTATCTAAAATAAATTAAACTTAAAAAATATTAAAATGAACCTACAAGACAATGAACATTAATGCTTAGTCTGTACATTGAGAATTAAGACATATTTTGTGCAAATACAGTACTTTGTTTCTGTTTTTTTTTTAAACTTCTGTTACAAATAAATCACATTTACAGAGCGATTCTAAATGACGCTACCAAAATAACACTGCAGAGAGAGATCATAAAGGTACCCATGTTTTGTATGCGTCAGCAGTTTTTATTTCTTTAACAGAAGGGACCCACGGCCCACTTATCCACCATAACTCATGAACCGATACAAAGAAAAACAGCAAATTTTAAACTTAAACTTTATTCCAGCCTGCGATGAACTGATTAGATTTTGGGCAGAGTCGGAACATTTGGGGGGTACTTTATTGGTAGTCATTTTTATATTTTATGGAATATATCCGTTATTTACGTTTAAGAAGAAAATTCTTCAAATAAAAGTTACTTACAATATATATAATATCTATAATTTTTGTTCTATACAAAATTTTACTGAAATGGTCCGTATTCGAGAAATTTGACAAAATGTGCAAAATTCTATAATTTTTGTTTTTACATGATTTTTCGAAAATGGACCGTAATGGAAAAATTGGAGGAAGAGTGCTAAATTTAAATTTTTTAGTATTTTCGTTTACAATGAATATCTGTAGAAAAATGTTTCGAGTTAAATGTATGTTGAAAATGTATATATTTAGTTTATTCTCTAAACATTTATAGAGGTGCTACAATAGGTTGTACAAAATAACAGGAAAAAACCTAGATAGGAAAGTCATGTGTTGGACACATCAGATTTTTTTTCAAGGAAGCCCCATATATTGAAAGAAAAAAAAAAACTATGTGCCATATTTAAAAAAAATATATATAAAGATTACAAATAAGATGAACAAGTGCATTGGGCGGCATATAAGAACATCATGTATGATGGATTGAGGCATGAGTTTATTTTGTTTTTTAGAAGAAAAAAGGATATTGCACCGTGATGGGCAAATGCTTTTTTTTTTTCAGAAAACAGTGCCCTGTAGTAAAAAAAACATCAATATTGAAAAAACTAAAATAGTCTTATGTGGAAATAAGGAATAGATGGCTTATGTCAGATGCACAGGTTTACGATATAAGCACTCTTCTTTATTTAGACAGACTCTACAAAATAAGATACAAATCAATTCAGTAGTTTTCGATAAATAACATTTTTTAGGAGTCTCCTTTAAAGGCTCCATTTAACCCCCCCAAAAACTATATTTCCTCAAAACAAGAATACAACTAGGATCTTTATTATTAAGATCTTCCAGTCGTTTAGCATCACCCTGTATAGTTCTAATATAATTAAGAAAGTTACAGCTGGAAGAACCAGTTACATTTTTTTAATCCATTAAAAACTATTTCACACTCCACTACTGGCGAATCATTTTGAAATATGGCATATTTTTTGTAACAATTTTCAAGGTGTAGTGGACGCCTTCCAGTAGCTCTCTAGATAGTATGCAACCCGTTATACACCTCGTTTATGGCCTTACGCTAGTCCGTCTCTTCCGGACACTAGATGGCACTATCAAAATCTGTGTTACTATATTACATAAGAACGTAACCGTAACTAATACGTACCCGATTACGATATGGAGTTTATATCGAAGCATCAAGAAAACTGAGAGGTCACAGAAATACCAACACTAGTTTCAATTAGTAATTATTGTATTCGGCTATATTTTATTAGGTCTTCTGATTCTTCAGAAATATGTTGGAAACTGTCCTAGTACTAGGTGACCAGTTGAAAAGTTATACACGTACACGACGTATAATTTGATATTCATCTGTTTCACTGTAGTGATGGGAAGGCCCGGTTCATCTTGATCCGGGCACAGAAGAAAGAACATTTATCCTGTGACCCGGGTCAGATAAGGTCAATCATTTGAATGACTCGTTCACAAAGATTCGTTCATATGAATAATATGATCAGTGAATAAGAATTTATACATCGCCTATGGTATGCACAGTACGCGCTGATGGTAAGACTGTCGCACTGTCGGCTCTTTTTATGAAGCGAAAACCGGATCATAATGCTTACAATCTCATCTCAGTTTATTGTTTAACATTTTTAATTTGTAACAGTTATCGATTGATACAGATTTATGATTATGACTATACACGACGTATAATTTGATATTCAACTGTTTCACTGTAGTGATGGGAAGACCCGGTTCATCTTGACCCGGGCACAGAAGAAAGAATATTTATCCTGTGACCCGGGTCACATAAGGTCAATCATTTGAATGACCCGTTCACAAAGATTCGTTCATATGAATAATATGACCAGTGAATAAGAATTTATACATCGCCTGTGATATGCACAGTACGCGCTGATGGTAAGACTGTCGGCTCTTTTTATGAACCGGAAACCGGATCATAATGCTTACAGTCTCATCTCATCTCAGTTTATTGTTTAACATTTTTAATTTGTAACAGATATCGATTGATACAGATTTATGATTATGACTATATTATAAAGCTTTGGTACTTTTTATTTCTCTATCGTTTCAGTTTTTAATCGATCGCGATCACGAATCACGACCATCGTTCACTGCATAACATTTTTAGTCATTCATTATATTCTGTTCAGTCACCAATCAATCGGTGAAAAAACAGCTCTTTAATTCATAAGCACATTAAGGATCGATTCTACCATTATTGTGTTAAACGAAGTTTAAAATGACATTTTTACATTAATAATGTCATTTTAATCTCCGTTTAACACAACGGTGGAATCGGCCCTAAAAACCTCATAAATAAACAGGGTCATATGAACGATAGGGTCACGAAGAGTGATTGAATTGATCACGGGTCTTCGGGATGATTCGTTCTTTTTGAAGGGGTCGTTCATGAACGACACATCGCTATTCCACTGGATCTCGGACGGTTTGCAATACATTTTGAAGAAACCAAAACAAGCCTATTATATATTTGTTTGTATTACTTTTATTTATTTTTTTAATAAATAGTTTCTAATTCTACAAAGGGTAATATACCAAGACCTAATAGTCAGTTATTTTTGTTGAATCTAAATTTCGAGAATATTTTAATATCAATTTCATGAGACATAATTTTAGGCATTAATAATCTGATTAGAGCCCGAGAGCCGAGAGTTTTAGCTTGATTGAGGGCTTTAATCAATTGATTATTAAAGCCAAAATTATGTAGAATCAAATTGTAAAATATTTGAGAAATTTAGCAATAACAAAAATAGCAGAATATTAATCAAGGTCGTGTTATATTTGGGACGACTATTTCACTAGACCAACTATCGACTATTTCTCTAGAGAAATAGTCGCTGATATTTGATCTAGGGAGATAGTCACTGTAATTTTACTAGATACCTACGTATTTTTTGTGTTTGAAGTCAGAGGAACGTGTATATATTGATGCGTCTTCCAGGAAAGTTAGTCGGTTATATCATAAAACACCCTGTATAAAAATGGAAATATAAAGTTGATAACCTACTTTTGTACAACTCCTTAAATTCTAAAATAATGAAGTGTGCAAAAGCAACAATAAAGAAAAGGTGAAAATTAAAGTAAGCAACCAACTGCAAATGAAAAGCAGGCAAAAAAACAGTGACATGCTAAATTTTGTATCATACCCTCAATTGTTCTATCCAATTACGTATTTCAAGAAATGATTGCTCATTTGTTAGATCAAATAGAAGCAAAAATCCCATAGCATCTCTATAAAATGCTGTTGTTAAGCTGCGAAATCTAATAAAAAAAAGTAATGCAGTTAATTTTAAAAACTAATGATACTATGTGCAAAAAGATTACATAAAAATGGTTATTAGTTAGTCATTAAAATTGTCTATAAAATATTTGTATTTTATTCACATGAATACCACGCAATTCAAATAAAAAACATATAGGGTTGCCACCTTTTCATTTCTCAAAAACTGGACCTTTGTAAACTTTCTAAAAAAAAGTCCTCAGCTTATATTTTATAAGCCAGGTCCTTCTGTCAAGCTTCTAAAAAAGTTGTTAATAAACGAAATCCTTCTGAAAAAACAAGTCTTTTCTAAAGTTATCCAGATATTCCCGGACATTTTCATCATTCGACCGGTCACCGGAAAAATTGTAAAGCCCGTACAGGTGGCATCCCTACAATTAGTGAAAATGTCTGGATATTTTGATTCCATACTCTTAACCAGATATCCCAAAAACTTAAATAATATAAAATATATTTACTTGCGGAACTTTTTGATATAGGTATATTTAAGAAATCTCAATGATCTAAAATTTAAAGAAATAAAAAAAATACAAATGATTCTCTGCTTAGATTTAACGATTTTTTGACTTCATTGACTCACTTATAGTATAAAAATAATTATTCCAAAATACCTATCAAGTTATTTTTTATCTGTTCCAAAGTTATTAATGAAATTAGTAGGTACAAACGTGGTACAATACCTTTCTTGTCCAGCTGTATCCCATAGTTGTAAGTGAATTCTATGATTGATACCTTTTGATTGATAAATCTGAAAAGGAATTATTTACAAGATATTTACGATAAATAAATTTAGTTATACCATTCTTTTCTCTCGGAAATCGATCCCAACTGTAGAAATAAATCTTGAATGAAAAACTCCATCTGTGTATTGGTACAAAAAACTAGTTTTTCCAACACCCGAATCACCAAGAGCAAGAAATTTTACTAGATAGTCATAATCCATAATTAGATACTAATACTATAATATTTTTTATCATATATCATACATTATGTTAAAAACAATTAAATCTAAAAAAAAAAATTCATTTGAATAACCTACTTTTGTACTTTGACACAAGGAAGAATGCAAGAATGATAAAAAATAAAAAATTGAAGTGACATAACACATCACAGAACACAAAACGTAACCAAAAACCAAAAATCAGATAATTACAGGAAGACTACTTCTATTTACGAAACAACAATGACGTCAGTGTAGAACCTAACAACCACTGCTGCGTTTGAATCCCATTGAAGTGTAACGGTATGGTAACGGTACAGAAAGTGGAATACCCACATCGGATGCAACTGAGATAGTAAATAGAGAGTTTTAGCAAATGTACGTAAGATTTCCCCTAACGTTACGTTAAACTTAGATTGTGACCTTTTTCATAAACATTGAACGGAGTATAGGTTACAGTCTATCCCTAAGGTAACGTTAGCGGCTGTTTGCTAAAACTCCCTATTCTTTGAGCACGGATTCAATATACGTAAATGTAGTAGGACAGATTTTTTCGTTTGTTCCATTGATATGGTTTGCTCGATGTCACATGACCAAAAAATCTACTCGCTTTGCTCGAGGAGGTACATTTCAAACGTAGCATGTTTATTTGCCGCGTTTGAAAATCCACATCGGATGCATTTTTTACATCTCGAGCGTTTTTTATCTACATCGTACACATCTACATCTGCGTTTGCTTATCCCAGATGTACCTGTTCAGATTACATTTTTTACATCTCGATTTGAAATGAGATGTGAATGAGATGTTCGTTCCATGCCAGAAAGTAAGTGTTCTGTGAAGTCAAGTTTGTCAATTTATCCTTTGTTTGTGCTATCATGAATATAAAAGTGATTAGTTTGTTTAATTTTTGTTTAGATTTCAAATTTAGTTCAACTATTTTTATTTTTAATTAAAATCAATAGAAACACCTTCCAGTGTGAATACGCACAGGATAAGAGGTTCTGGGTGACGTCACCATGTTAGCACATTTCAGAAACAAATTTGAGGAACTAGGCTATTCTGTTCAGTAATGTTTAATTCTTGTAGAGTTCAGTGGTTTCGATGTCGAAAATTTTGATCATGAAATTATGGAAAGATATAAAATTTCATTATTGACCACTGAGCGTATATATCTATATGTTTTCTATACTTCGCTGCGACGATAATTGTTTTTATCTAATCTTGCGAACTCAAAATAATTAAATTTGAAATACAAGTCATTATTTTTAATCTTTATGTGCAGATAACACAAGGTTCATGATAACATATAAATTGTTTATGGTGAAATTGTCTATTTTAAGGAAATCACCCCTGAGAGATATGAATCACCCTCTATATGATTTAAAGGTCGCGTCGATTACACTGTAGTCACGTGACATATTGGACCAATGACAAATAGATACGCAGCTAACTAGATGAATCTAGAAAAAACCCTATTGACTGACGTGTTCATTTTCTGTTTGTGTTTATTCGAAATCGAAAAAATAGTAGGGTATATCACTGACATCAGCATTAGTTGCAATCAGAGACCCATTTTCAAAACTTGTGAATTTCGAGAACTGCAAAGTGAATATTAATAAACCTGAAATTGTGGCTATATCAAAAAGGATAAAAAAAGTTGAGAATCAACATTAAATCAGTTCATTATGGCAACAGCATCTGTGCATTCATTCCTAAATTCCTTTAACAATAAACTGTAAGTTTTAATATTAATTTCTTTGAAATTTAGTTATAATCGTTTATTTTTTACAGTGAAGAACCAGTCAGGCAACATCTAAAAAATGTGTACGCCTGTTTAACAATGTCAACAATGGCGGCGGCCATCGGATCCGCCGTTCACCTATATACAAACATTCAAGCAGGATTTCTATCAGCGATAGGAGCTTTGGTATTTTTCTTTCTTTTGATGAGTACACCTGATGACAATGGCAAAGGACTGACTACAAGAGTTGGATATCTCCTAGGTTTCACTTTTCTTACTGGAGTTGGTTTGGGCCCTCTTTTAGAACATGTAATTCTAGTTGATCCCTCAATTATAGTAACAGCATTTGTTGCTACTTCAGCTGTGTTCATGTGTTTCTCAATTTGTGCTATGTTGTCAGAAAGAGGAAAATGGTTGTACCTAGGTGGTACCTTGATGAGCCTATTGACCACCCTGATGGTTTTATCTTTCGCAAATCTTTTCTTTGGCGCTGCATGGATCCACCAAACACAATTGTACTTGGGATTGGTAGCTATGTGTGGATTTGTACTTTATGACACACAGGTCATTATTGAAAAACGTAGGATGGGAAGCAAAGACTTTGTTGCCCACTCTCTGGACTTGTTCGTTGACTTCATTGGTATTTTCAGAAGGCTACTTATTATTCTGACCCAGAAGGTAATTGAAAATAGGTATATTTCCTTTTCCCTAATCCTATATCCTCAAAACCACAATCAAATCCAAATTTTACCAGTTTTCTTGTAAATAAATTCTTAACTTAAGTTTTTATAATAAAATTCGTAATAGTTCCTCATATTTTTTGTCTAAAACTTTTCCTTTTTTTTTTCCTACATAGTTAATATTTATGAATTTTTGTTGTCTTAACACCTAATAATTCATTTTAGGAACAGGAATCGAGGAAGAAGCAGCGAAGAAACTGAAACAGAATAATTTCTGCAACAGTGGGATGTTTCTTATGAGACTAAATTGTGATTATATGATTTTCATTCAATAAATATTCATCACTAGAGTTAAAATGGTTGTTGTTTTCTTAATGTGTATATTATATGTTGTATAATTTATTTTAATAAAATTTCTTTGTAATTAACTGTGTTTAAATTGAAAAAAAAAAAACATTAGAAAGCAGTAAGTAAAAGTATTTTTTTTTAAATTAAATAAGTATTTTTCCTTCATTTTATTCACAAATGTTGAATAGGCTATAGTCTGATTCACAAGCCTACACATCTGTAATGGCTGCTTGAGATACACTGGTGGCAAAAAAAAACCAAAACATACTTTTGTCACAGTTTATAGCTTAAAAGAATCAGTTCGCTCACTCTGCGTCGGCACTTTTGATCTCAATGTTCCAGTTTATACATTGCCCAACTCGGATTTGTATCCCTGGCCCATACAGAATCAAATCATAATAGCCCAAGGGCCTACTGTAAATTTTTACCGCCATCTGATAATGAAATAAAATATACCATAAAAGCTTGTAAAAACATTGTACTTTACCGAATGGCACCTGTGACAATCCCAAACCTGAGCAAAGTGTTTAAAAAATATATTTTATATTAAAAAAATTACATAAGGCATGACAGCGCTAATTTTGTTTGCCCTTAAAGTTTTCCAGATAATAACATTCAAATATATCTTGATATATCGTTAACGGGAAACATTTTCTTCCTCTTAACACCGCACAAAAACATCTACACACGATTAGTAGGTAAAAATCATTAAAAATATGAATCAATTTTTGCTGATTTAAAAATTTATTTGTATGCCTATTGTTGTGATTCATTTTTACAGGTTGTCATAGAAACGACAAAAAAACTACTATGATTATGGTTTAAAAGAATTGTCTAACAAGAGTTTATAATTATTATTGACTATATCTGCCAAAGTTAGGTAAAAATATTAATAATTCACAATGAATTAGGATTGTAATTTTCAGAGAAAACACAATTATCGCTGTCATGTCTTATGTAATTTTTTGAATATAAAATAATTTTTTTAACCACTTTGCTGTGGATTACAGATTGGCACAGGTACAATTTGGTAAAGTACAATGCTGTTACATGTCTTTAGAGCATATTTCATTTTGTTATCAGATGGCGGTCGTAATTTGCAGTGGGCTCTCTTACTATTACCAATTAAGCATTCCAAAACGACCTGTCAAACAATAGCTGTCAGTGAGAAGGTCTGGTATATCTAAGGGGGTAGAGACATAGTCTTGCATCTTGAACGTTTTTTTTTATTCGAAATAATAGTCACAAAGCCTGCCAATTTATGAAAAAATGTATCTTATTTTTATTGTGTTTGACATAAAATATTTAAATGTAATCCATTATTCATGATTTTATGTATTGTAAACAGAATACATCGTATGTCGCAACCCTTGGATATATCAAATCTTCCCACTGGCAGTTCATTTGTTTGGATTGCCTAATACATTGCTGCGTTTGAGAATCCACATCGGATGCATCTGAGATGTAAAAAATCTTTGATCACGTGATTCAGTATACGTAAATGTAATGGGACAGATGTGTCCGATGTGGATAAAAAAACGCTCGAGATGTAAAAAATGCATCCGATGTGGATTCTCAAACGCAGCAAATATATGACAACCGCTTATATTCAAACGGCAGTCTTCTGCGCATCCTGAATTTGTATCCCTGGAGTTGATGTTATTTTGGAACATCCAATTAGTCCGAGTGAGCGAACTGATTCTTTTAAGCTATAAACTGTGCTTTTGTACTGATTCCCAACAATTCATGCCACTGTAATTTTACATTGACATGTTACTATGGTAACTTCTAACAAGCAATCGCATTGTGTGAATTGTAATCTCTATCAGAGCAGTTTCTAGCCTATCTGTATTGTTTTGTTCATAAGAGAAAGTGAGAAGAAACTTCTATTATTCAAGTACATTGGTATTTCATTAAAAAATATCCGACATGTCCAACACATGACTTTCAAATAAAGTTATCAAATATTGAATATGGGATTAAATAAGATATGAATACGCTAATTAAAAAGTGTAGAATATGAATTAAAGATAAACATTTTCCACAATTTTAATCGAATTTTGCCATTTCCTCAATGTTAAAAAAGTTCACAGATACAGAGTGTTAAAATTTAAATTTTGTATTAATTATTTTAAAGATATCAACTCGAACTTTGCAAAACGCTTTGGAATGATAAATGTGCATTTTTTGGGGTGGTCCGAATATTTCTACTTGCACCAGTGGCGTACGTTGGTGTAAGAATGCCAACTTTTTTAATAAAAAAAATGTGTCACCAAATTTTCTAACAAAAAACTTCGGTAACCACCTCCTAAACTATTTTGCACTTATTTACAAACCACATCATTGCGAAAATATGGTAGGAATGTATATTTTTGTTGTACAGCAGTTTTAAATTATAAAACGGGATGATTTTCCGCGGTTTAGGAACAAACTCAAGCAAACCGAACACCTTGAAAATGTTTAATTCCTTTTGAGTATTTATTTTTAGTCCGATTTTTGTGAAATTTTCAGGAAATAATGGGTTGGAGATCGAAACATTGATTTTTTGTAAATCTTCGAAAAGCATTTATTTTGATAATTTTTAAAAGAAATTAAAAAAAAGCGCCATTCTGTATTAAATCTATGAACATTTTCTGCTTTTTGTTTTAATAAATATCTAGTAGTTTTTAAATGGCAGAGTTTCCCACACCTTTTTACTTTCATGATTTTTTTCGACCTCGAGTTTTTGACGGATTTTTACGTTTTGAGGCCCCCTGAATCCATTTTGACTATTTTCGCGATGATGTCTATGTGTGTCTGTATCTTCGATAACTCATGAACGGATGCAAAGAAAAGCAATTTTTGTAGTAATTGCCGCACCCTCATTTTAACAATTCACCTGTAGGTAATCTTAATTATCTGCATTTCCAAAAATCAGCAGGAAATTTAAATTTCACTCAATCCGGCAACGTAGCCAGAAATACGCAGAAGTTTTCAAAGAGAAACTTCGTTTTTATCTCAGGCGGCTGTAATGTCACGCTGCAAATTTCGACCAATCGGAAACGTCTATACTTTTTCATTTGTTTAAATTATAAAGATGTCTAACAAGAAGCTATTAATAATGAGTGTTATAGTAGTGATAGTGAAATATCTCAAAGAAAATAATAAATGGTAAGTATATTTATGCTATTCAATATAAGGTGAATGAATTTTATCAATAATTCAACTTGATAATATCTGGGGATGTGCCTACATACTTGTTATAGGTACCTAGTTGAATACTACAATTTTAGATGATGTGGGCAATCATGATTAAACTATAATAACTAACTTTAAACTACGGTTTATTTTGGAGAAAATGTAGATAGGTATTAGTATGTAAATTTTAAAAACTTTTAATGCAATCATCTAATTATGTTTAGGCAAGTTTATGTCTAGAGTCTAGATACCTACCCATCTACAGCACCTATAGGTACATTTTAGCAGTTTCCTCAGTTAAAAACAAACATTTTTGAGGTCATGTATATCCGAAATGAAAATTTTGTTTTCCAAAAGAACCGTAAGGATAAAAAATATTGTCTATACAAAATACTATACTATAATCTTTATATAATACCTAAATATTTTTTCTTTTTGATGATTTTTTACTTTCCTATCTGTATATAAGGAAAGTATAGGAATCATGATTTTTTTTCGACCTCGAGTTTTCGACGGATTTTTACGTTTTGAGGTCCCCTGAATCAGTTTTGACTATTTTCGCGATGATGTCTGTGTGTGTGTCTGTATCCACCATAACTCATGAACCGATACATAGAAAAACACCAAATTTTAAACTTAAGCTTTATTCCATCGTCCAATGAACTGATTAGTTTTTGGACAGAGTCGGAACATCTGGGGGGTACTTTATAGGTGGTCATTTTTATATTTTATGGAATATATCTGTTATTTACGTTTGGAGAAGAAAATTCTTCAAATAAAAATTACTTCTAATATTATTATCTATAATTTTTGTTCTATACAAAATTTTCCTAAAATGGTCCGTATTCGAGAAGTTTGACGAAATAAAAAAAAATATTTTTTTATAAAAATTATTCAAATAAAAGTTGTTTGTAATATAATTCTCTATAATTTTTATTCTATACATAATTTCTCTAAAATGGACCGTATTCGAGATATTTGAGAAAATGTGTAAATTTTGAAGAAAAGTCAAAAACGGATAAAGAAAAAAACATTTAATTTTAAACTTGAGTTTTATTTCGGCTTGACGTGAAATGATTAGATTTTGGACAAAGTCGGAAGATCTGGGGGGGTACTTTATAGGAGGCCGTTTTTATATTTTATGGAATATGTCTGTTATTTATGTTTGGAGAAGAAAATTGTTCAAATAAAAGTTACTTCTAATATTATTATCTATAATTTTTGCATTATGTCAAAATTTCCTGAAATGGTCCGTATTCGAGAAATTTGACAAAATGTGCAAAATTCTGATTTTTATGAAAATTGTTGAACTAAAAGTTGTTTGCGATATCGATCTCTATAATTTTTGTATATATATGATTTTTCTAAAATGGACCGTAATGGAAAAATTGGAGGAAGAGTGCTAAATTTAAATTTTTCAGTATTTTCGTTTTCAATGAATATCTATAGAAAAATGTTTTGAGGTAGATGTATGTTGATAATGTATATATTTAGTTTATCCTCTAAACATTTATAGAGATGCTGCAATAGGCTGTATAAAATAACCGGAAAAAGCCTATAATGACTAGATAGGAAAGTCATGTGTTGGACACATCAGATTTTTTATCGAAACCTTTTGACTAGGGTAATTATTAGATATTTTCTTCTTTTTCAGCTTGCATTCCGGTTTAACAGTGGCGTAGAGTTTTCGTGTAAAGGTAGGAGAATGAATGTGTTAAAATAAATAAGTAGTAATAGCAAATTTTAAATATATTTAATGAGTAATCAATGTTATGTGTATAAAAACTAGGTATAGGCACAGGAATATAATTTTACAATTATTTTTTCTCATTAGGTATATACGAGGGAGAGGCGCAAATATATGTGGGTATTTTCGGTCAAGGAATAAAAATAGGTATTCTAGGACGTTTTTTGCAGAGATAATTTAAAAAATGAAGTTTATTGCCTAGTAATTAAAAATATGCATATAATCTTTTCAGATTTTGGTAAATTAATCTAATAATTTATAAATAAATAGAGTTACTCTATCCTTCAGTTAAAATCATATTTTTGGGTTTCAATCGATGTTAAAAATGTTGGTAAACATCTAGGTTGGTTTTTAATTTGTTTTCTACGTAAAAAATAATTTTATATCCAAAAACTTTTCATTAAATAAAAAAAGTGCCTATGTTAATTCGTAAAATTCAAAAAAATGTAAATATTTTTTAAACGATCAATCATTGAAAAGAAACTTTTAAATTTTAGCTAGTTTTTTGAGTGTTTTGCATCATTGATGTTATTATAAAAGCTCGATGTTTTTATATTTACATCAACGATTTTGTTTGGGATCATTCCCTTTCTCTCTGACAATAAAGATATTAGATTCACGCTATTTACGTCTTTTGAAATCATTTATTAAGGGTTACATCTTTTGGAATTTAATTCTAAGATGTGTTATCTCTATAATAATTAATTTCTGATGTAAATTCTTGGATTAAATAGACAAGGCTGCGCAGCAATACTGCCTGGTGATACCTCATATAATTATTAAACTTACTTGAATCAATCACAGATATAAACTTAAAATTCTTGTTTTTTCTTCTGTAATATGACACTAAATAAGTGTTTGATTTTGGAATGTTAATAAATTGTAAGAGTGTCTAGGGGCTGTTATTAGAGGTAGGGAATGATAGAATGATTGTTGATGTTGGAATGAACTGACGTCGCCGGGAACAGAAGATTTCCTGAGTGTAAGAAAATGTCTGGATATGGATGGAATAATGCCGTTAGTGGGATGAAAAGAAAGCAGCATGGTTTTTATATAAGGTGAGTTTTTTGCCAATATAACGTATAAATTATACTTTGGCTCTTCTATTCCGTCTAACAAATAATGAAGATGCCCTTGTTCTAGTAGAAAACACAGTTAAACATATATTCTTTGAGTTATCGTAGTATTAAATTGACTATAATGGTTTTAATTAAAGTTATATTATCATTTCACAAAAAAATATCTCTAAAACTTTTATAAACATAAAAAAATAAGAGTATTTCATGTTATCAGTGGCGTAACCACGGGGGTTTTGTAAAAGTAAATTGGTAAAAGTGTATGGTGACTATTATAAAAGAATATGGTGAAAGCTGAATCCCTAAACTGGAGACTCCAATGAATAAAATTCTGGATTTAGATCTGGATAGAGGAAAAGACATTTACGTGTGAGTAAATAAATCTGTATTAGTGTGAGATCATAATAGACAATTTGCTATCGATATCACGACTATATTTACTTTTAAAATTGATGCCAGACGGTTAGAATAATAGAAATTATTACATTTTTTTAGAATAGTTACATTTTGAAAATGAAAACGTCAAAATTTTTTTAATGTCACATTGAAATTTATCAAATTAGATTTCAAATTATAGAGGTGTAAATAATTATATTGTAGTACTAAAATCTATAGGAATTTCTTTTTAAATTGTTCATAATAGTAATTAGTAAGTGTGTATGGTGATGAATGTATGGTTAAAGTAATTAAGTTAATAGATAGATAATTTTGTAGATGTTCAGAAATTTGAACGTTGTTACAATTTACTGGTAATAAATTGAAAACTTGTATTTACAATTTGTCTATTTAAAAAAATATATATATTTTACAGTATGTTACACTTGACGATAATAACAAATATTAACGTATAATGTAATTGACTAATCCTTTCCAATACATCCTTAAGCCCAGTTTTCTCTATAGAACAGAAAGGCCAATCAGCCAATCAATTTAATTAAAAATAATAATAAATATTTCAATGTATTTTATTGTTGGAATTGTTTTTTCTATTTACTAAATAAACTAAGGACCGATACCACCGTTGTGTTAAACGGAGTTTAAAATGACATTTTTACATTATCAACGTCATTTTAATCTCCGTTTAACATAACGGTGGAATCGGTCCTAAGTAAACTAAATAAATAATAATTAAAAATAAAATAAAGTATTATATTTCATGAACCGACACCACTGTGATAAAGAGAATTTGCTCTAAAAAAGGTGATAAAATATACATTCATGTTCAAAAAATGTTTTCAAAAGTTGCTCCGACGCGATGGAACTACAATGGACGTTTAGTGCAAACAGTGTTTCAATATTGTGATTCTTTGATACACTTCTTTCAAGACGTTTGGGATAATAAAGAAGCATGGAATGCTGAAACTGTTACTGCTGCTAAAGGGTATTCGCATTGGCTCAAACAAAACTTTGATTTTAATTATTTGCTCAACATTTTTGCAGAGATTTTCCTTTTACTGACATGTTATTCGACATTGGCTTTTGCATTAAACAAATTGATGATTTTAAATATAAAATGAATAAAAAACGAGATCAGTTTGAACACTTTTGGAATAAGACTCAAAACATTGGCTTAGAACCTGAAAGAAAGAGAATTAGAGTTGATGTCGGCGACTGAGAGACCTCCTATCGTCGACTATACGCCGAAATTTTTGATAATATTCTACAACAAATGAACTCTCGATTTCAAAACTTTAACGAATTAAAATTTTTTGAATTGTGTAATTTTAATATTAGTAACTACGATTCATCTGCGGCGCTGTGCTTACTGGTCTGCTGTATTTTTATACAATCGCTTCCCCTTCCAAAAATGTCACCGCACGCCACTGTTTGGCACCAATTGTGTCAAAATAGAAACATTCTTAGCAAAACGCACGATTGATTTTCTAACATGAAATTTATTGATATAATTTACGGTTATTTTTGGTTAAACGATAAATAAATACAGGCGCATTAATACATTATAAATATTTTTTACACCTTATATTTTGAAAAGTATATAATTCATTAGATGAAACATTTTCAATGTTGATATAGGTACTTAACAAAATTTTTTATATTGATAAGTTCCTAAAATACATAATATATTTGATATTCACAAAATTGCAATTTTTGATAAACTAATTGACTTTTTTTCGAATTGTCAAAAATTCGTCAGGAAGAAAGAAAATACAAAAACTTAACCTACTTTAATTTTATAGAGATTAAAGAGTATGACAAAATATTTACGAAGTTTAAATGAAGACAGGAGTTTTATTTTTCATATTCCAAAATTATGTAAAAAAAAAAAACAAAAAATTAACTTCCATTCAAATATATTTTTCTGAATCTTAAAGACGTAAATAAAATAAAACAGCTCTTTCTACATTTATTATGCTCAAAGTTTCACCTATAAAATATAGTTTTTATGAGGATTAAAACTATTAAAAAAAAATTGTTTTAAAAAATAAATTATATTAAAACAAATAACGTATAGAAAAATTCCAATCCAGTTAAACACATATCGCTTCTCCTGTACATTGACGCAAGTGAAGATAACAGTGTTATTTACAAAACGCAATTAAATATTTTAATTGGATAGTTGAAATTCTTTAGACAATAAGGAATAGCTTGGAAATAACGACAGGGCATTTTTATCTAGCAAATTTAATTTAAGAAAAAACTAAAATGCTACAGCTCATAAAAATGGAGAAACTTCCAATTTTGCCTCAAGAAAATGCCATATTGTGGGCTAATTGACATAATCAATGACGGCAATTGTTACTTACGCCGTTGTCCCACAAATAGAACTATCGCCGTAGAAAGAGCGAGACGCCCACCAAATTGAGTGGGGATAGTGTTTGCAAGCACGCGTTTTGAGTGAACCAGCACTCCCGACTAAGATTCTTGCTCTACACCGTTGTCATATTGCAAAATAAAAGGCTTACTGTCCCGGAACTACAACAGACATTAAACTGATGATAACTCAATATACTTGCTTAATGTAATTTTGAACGCATTCTATGCCCTTTAAAGACTTTTGTTAAGTAAATTTCGAATAATAACCACAAACAATCCTTGTAAATAAACTCTCCAGTAATAATTTGGCAACTATGTTGAATAACAACGTGAATATTTGCAATTCGCCTTTTGTAAACAAAATTGGTCTAGTACTCATTGGATCAAACATAAAATTTGTCACAAACATTAACAAATATCACTTAGGTCGATGTAGCATAAAGAATGATGTGTCCACTAACCTTCATGACGTAGTTCAACTGAAAATCATATTCAGTTGAATTACGTATAATTGAACGATGTAATTGCTTTTTAGCGGTCAAGAAAGAGTATTATAATTGTCGTTGTTCCACCATATAAAAAACATTTTTTCGTACTGTTGTCATATTTATTTGAACTTGCGTCATTGTTTCCCCGGAGAAGCAATATATACACAAGCTTATAATTTGGAAGATATGTTTTAGATACTTGTGCACAGAGTGTCTCAAAAAGTCTACACTAAGAAAACACGAAATTCATTTTTTTAATCTATGTAAAAAGGGTATATTAACAGGTTAGGTGCCGCCATAGTGAAAATTTTAACGTCCCCACAGGCCGATCACTTTTTCTTATCAAATAGAATTTCTATATGCCTCTGCAATGTTCTAGGTGGCCATGATTTCATATTTGCAATAATAAATATTGATTTTTAGGGTTTTAGGTCATGCACAAAATTTTGTTAAAAATAAAATTTTCTGAGAAATAAAAAAGTTTTCCGTAGACTTTTTGAGATACACTTACTTTGTAGATACTAAAAATCTTAATAATGCATCTATTTTTCAATTTATCTTAAAACATATTTTAAGATATTTGATACCGTTTGAAATATCTGGAAAGAAACTTTTTATTAACTGTGCGCTAACATAAGTGTTACTTTTAAGTCTCTCAATAATTATTTAATTATCTATTTGACCTCAAATAATTCCTCTTACTATATAAAGTAATCATTATATCTTAGTTGTAGGACAATATATTTATCTTCATATAAAGAATTCTTTTCGCAGTTTACTTTGTCTACAATCAAATTAGAAAAGTGGCTTTGACATCCTTTAGTGTGATATCCAATATCACTAAAATCCTAGTATAAGTAATAATACAGTAGTAACAGTTCATTGTTTATGAGAGGGTCCATATTTTTCGGCGCATGTCCGAAAATAAACGGCAAATACCTAAACCGGCGTATGTTAATTGTCAAGGACACTTCTTCATCGCAACCGGTTCTCTTTTCGCTAAATTGTTCTGTCGTACAGCCTCCTTAATACGATCAACTTCATACTAAGCCCTTCTACTTTTCTCCACGATACAGGAAGTAGCTGAGAGGTGCCAGATTTGGATACTATCGATCAAACATTGTTAAACAGAGACATGTACAGAAGGTTCAAGACAACATTAGAAAACGATTCAAAACGGAATACTTGGCTCAACTAATCAACAGTGCACTATTGTGCACTTTATTTTTGTAATCTATATTTAGTATAAATAAAAACGTTTATTATTATTATTATTATATAGTTTATATAGGCAATAATAGTAGAAAACGCGTATATTGGCCTTTAGAAAAAATATATCAATAAAAAGATAAAATGCCCAGAGTAACTAAAGTCAAAAGTATGAATGTATTCGACCATTCCAGAGTTTATTTCCACTTGAAGTATGTGAATCGGAATGTCATAAGTTAGAAACAAGGTATTTGGAAAAACACTCAACTTTAGAAGAAATTATTACAAAAAATTCACAACACCAAGAAGAAAAATAAGAGGCGGAAATCAGACAAGAGATTGCCAGTTAGTTATGGGATTGATTACTATTATTTACTATTTTTCGTTTATTTTCCAATCTTGATTAGTTTGGGAAAGAGGGGAGAATGTGAGAAATGTATGTCGCTACTGTATTTTTACTTATACTGTGCCTTATTTATTTAATAAATTGTTTAAAAGTTAACAGAGGGTCGCTTTTTGTTAGATAATCAAAACTATAAAGAATAATAATGGCAGTCTAAATATATCCTGTTAAAATTGACCCAGTTATATATTGGGTACCTCCCAAATTTGATTATAAATATAAATAAATAAATGTTGTCTTTTTCCTTATCCAATTCAGTTTGCTTTGCTGTAATAGTTGGTAATTCCAATAAATTAATCTCTTTAATATGTATTTAACACAATTAGAAATGAAGTCTCCAAACAAATTTCTAATAAAAGTTTTCTCCACGTCATTGTTGCAGCTCAAGAGTTTCGTTATTTTCCATTTGAGAGTTATCCATTTGAGAGTTATCCATCTGATTACAAATATATTCGTCTTTCTTGTCGTAGGACGGTGGTGCTACAATAGGTATAGCTGCTTTAGGACGTTTTAGTGGCACATGACGTTGAGCTAGTTGCTGATCGGTCGAGTAATAAGTTATGCCGCCTTGAGGTTGATAGAGCTCCGCTGGTTGAGTCTAAAATAGATTATATGCATATATGTTTAAATAGTTATGGACATTTAGTAATTTATTGATTCAATATCCAACAAGGTAATCACCAGTTACAGTATAAGGTGAAAAAGCTATATAATTGTGGAAAATAACAGTTAAATATTAAAAGGTTTTAATTTTTAAATTTTTACCGCATCTATATTTTTCACGTGACAAATTTTACTGTTGTGTTTAAAATTTGTTTTTAAATTTATAATTTTTAAAAATCTAACTACAAGAGTCGACAGATAATGAAGCTACTTTAATATTCCTAAAACTTCAAATTTCTACTTTTTTGCGGCAACGTTTGAAGATAAATACGCAATGAGCTGGTCTTATATGCGTCCTTAGCCGTGCCAGTTTGAGTACCTATTTGCAAGTTTCCAAAGACGTGGTGTATTAGCTAATTAGGTTTTCTGTTTATTGTGCTTTTAGGCGCTGTTATAAATTTATTTATTTAAATGTGTTTGTAAAGTTAATTATTTATTATCTTATTAAACTGTTATATAATTATTTTTTGTTGTAAACTGTGATTTCTCATGCCAATAAACTATTATTGTTTGTCTTAATAGACTGCAACTTTTATTAAAATATGGGAAATAAAAGAAATCTTATCGCTAAAAAGTCAAGTTACGATTTTCTGAATATTCTCTTATAAGTAGGTATACAAAGTACCTATTGACATTTGAAAAAATCATATTTTTTTTAAAAGCAGTACATGCTAATTGCATCTCAACCCATCCAGCACACTTCTCTTATAACCTTTGAATTATAGAACATTCAATTCTTATAAAGGTTTTATAGTTGTTTCAAAAATTAAATATTGACTCATAAATATAGCAAAAGATGCAATTTAGCTGTTGAAAACAAAATAGCACTATAATATTATATAAATATTCTTACTTTATATTTATTATATGTTATAATTTTTTCTTATAAGAGATACTCAGTATTTCTTAAGAACAAGCTATAGGTCGTATCTATAGCACCAATTTCTTTTTTAAGGCTTTTTGATTTATAACGGTTTTATATTTGTCTTTAGTAACATTTTAAAGGTAAGTATAAATATAAAAACGTGAAAATTTATAAAGCACGCTGTTTGATATAACAATAAGATACATTGGATATATATTCAACACTTCTTATAAGGGAAGTCGCTTCATTTTCTTGTTAAGGCAATTTGTGCAACATATATGAAGCAAAATTGTTTCAACAAACATAAAATACTATTGCAGCTACAAAGAACTATATTTAAGCGAGCAAACATAAAAGTTACAAAGTATCCTTTAAAATGTCTTTATTACTTCTATTATAGGATGTAGATTTCGCCGTTAAAATTTGACTGTCTAATTTCTTTCCGCGAACGAAGCTATAATTAATTTCTGTTTAATTTCCTATGACTTATCTATAAAAAAATTTCTTGAATATTCAAATGATCTTTTTTTCTAGTTTTAAATGGTAGGTTGACCGAAAATCGTTCTAGGGATAAATGAGATATTCTACAAAATAAGTAAACTTTATATATGTTTAAAAAGTGAAAATTCTCCTTATATTTAATTCAAAAATCAAGTTTTTCTTAGTACCTTGTTAGACACAATACGTTTTTTGAATTTTCAAGATTGTCTTGTCGTAAATGACATAAAATTAAATAAATTTAATCTGTTTGATACTTAAAAAAAAAAAAACGCTATGATGAAAATTCTGCAAACATTCGTAAATTTATTCCTAATTATTAATAGGGAAATGTCTAAGGTTTCTAATAGTTTACAAATAATAACCAATATCGTAAGCGTACATTTTCCTTGTAATTAAAATACTCGTACTTAATTTTGAATTCATTATCTTTAACTTACCACTGCATTAAATGGTTGCTGATATCCCGGATAGTTAGGTTGAAAAGTCGGTTGGCTGGGTACAAAGTTAATAAGCTGCGCAGGTTGAGGGGCTGGCATGAAAGGCGGCCCTGCGACGGCCGCGGACTGTATAAAAGCGGTCGGCGGTGGAGGATAGGGTTGCGGGGCAAACGTAGCAGCTTGCAGTAGGGGAGCGGCGGTTACCGGTACTTGAGGAAGCGGCGTCGGTTGAAGGGGAGCGACATGAGCGACTTGGGTAGTTGAAGAAAGCATTTGAGGATTTTGATGGAGGAGGGGTTGGGCGGAGGATGGAACCGATTGTTGGTTGTATTCTGAAAACAAAACAAAAAAGTATTAATATACTATTTATACTGTATGTGTACTAAGTTGAAAAATGTTTTTCTTTATAAAAAGGTCTTCATGCTCTAAAACCTAAAATACATCCGTCAGATTAGTGGCGACTCATGAACGAAATTTTGAAGGTTCACAATGACAGAATATAGATTTCAGTAAAAAACTTTCAATGATTATTATATACCTTTCTAAAACACTGACAGTTTTTTAGCTAAATCTTTACTGAGATCTATATTCTGTCAATAACACCCAATATTGAACTGGTAAAAGACTCCTTGTAATCAGATTAAAATATATAATAAATTGTCAAATAGTATAAAATCGATGGATAAGAATTTTAGAATAATTTTTAAATTGGTGTGACAGTACGTACACCTACCTATTTTACTCTTATTGATATTTACTTAATTTATTTTGAGTTTTAATCCATGCATAACTTTTTTGGAAAAACATATTTTTTCTCTTAAAATTAATGATAAACAGATTTTCATATGATTCCAACTTAAGTAGACACATTGTATATAAGACAGTTTACTTACCATTTGGATAAAAAGTAGGGTTATGCTGATAATTAGTTAATGGTGGTGTGTTCCTTTCTGGCAAACTCTTTTGTCTCATCGAACTATATCTTTTAGAACCTTTCTGTTCTGACTGCAATCTTGGAGGCACGCTGCTTTGACGTTGTTGAGCGGTATTACTGATATTTTTATTAGAATTTGATCTACTCCCATCGTCGATATTCAGTTTACTCATTTCTTTCTCTAAATCTTGCTAAAATATCAAATTTATTATTTAAAAACAGCATGAAAAATGTGTTAAAACTTACATTGTTTCTATTTGAGAAATTCTGCGATTGAATAAAATCATCTTTCCTATTTGCAGGTAAAACTTTTTGAGAAGTTATTTTTCTGTTTCGAACTTTTCTAGATTTAGTAGTGAATCCGTGGTATTCTGATTCGTTGGGTTCTTTCTTCACATTGTTGATTCGACCGGATCCGATGCGTTGATTATTCTTGTAATGTTCTTCATAACCGACATTATTTGATGAATTTTCAAACCTCGAAGATTGAGAATCTGTTCTCTCTTTAGGCTGGTCATGTCTGAATAATTAAATGATGAATAAAAACAAAGAGGAATTAAAATGAGTCGTTTTTATAATTATATAAATGAGATGGCACAATTAGTATAAGTTTCTGGGCTTTTAACAATTTTTCTGATTAATACATGTGCTTTACTTTCTTATGTGACTACCTGAGTGGATTATAATGGTAATCCATAAGCTCAGGAGCAAACAAAATTGTGTTTCATCATTTTTTTTAAACTGAGTTAATGCCACATGCCAAACTGTAATAAATTAATGCTACACTTTACAATACGTAAGTTTTTTTATCCCCTTAAAATAAAAAGTAACGTAATGAACAGTCATAATGCTGGATTTACCAAAAAAATTACATTTTTGGTGATGTGTCAAACTTGGTACTTTCCTATTTACATTGTATAGGTTAGATTGATTGAGGAGAAAGGAGTGACAGGAGAGTTAAAGAAACTATAGAAAGATGTCCTCCTTGAAATACATACTGACCTGTTTTTGCATCTTTAAAAAAATTATATTCTGAGATACAGCCGGTCGTGACCCTTAATGAATCAATTTGTATATGAAAGCATCAAATATAGCGCAGAATTGTTTTTATTTAATATTTGTTCTTTAATTTCTGTAAAAAAATTCTTAGCAATTGAAATATTTAATTGATATTTTTAATATACCAATATCCCAATCTAATATCAACCAAGAAGGTCGATATATAGATAATTACCTACCAGAAAAACAGAAACCCATAACTGTGCCATCTCCTTAAAGAAATTCCACTGCAACTACAGTTCCCTCTAAGCTAAATTTTGGAACTTCCTGTATACCGTTTTTAAATGGTAAACGTACCTTATGTCAACTCGTTTCACTTGTTGTTGTTGCTGTTCATCTTTTATTAAATCCTTGTTTTCATAATTTTGATCAGAAGCAGAGTTATTTATTAATGGTGGAAATTCCTCAAGAGTTTGACTTGGAATAGGTTTTTTGCCACTCTTTTTTGGAGTTGTTGCAGGTGGTTTGCTATAAGCATCTTCATCCTCCCAATTACGTGTATATTTATTTGGTCCACGACTAAAAATAAAATACATTTAAAAAATGTACACTAGAGTGTATAATTTGCAAAAAATGAATGCAGTATTTCGAAAATTTTGTTTAACATATCATTTTGTTTGTCATTTCACTTAAAAAAAAATAAATCCTAAAATAAATGAAATACCATATAGATTAGCACATTGAAAATGTTTGGTCAGAGGCAGCATGAGAAAATAATTTGTAAGGAACAAAAAACATAATTCATACTTATTCAAGTTTCACATACCCATATTTCCTACGCCGTCTAGCCCTTGGTGGTCCTTCTTCATTTCTTATATCATATCCATAGATGGCAATTAATTCTGATCTACTTTTAGGAGCTTGTTCTGGTTCATTAAACCTATCATGAGTCCATTGTTCCTTTTTATCTTGCCAAACTTTTTTCTTCCCATCTTTATCTTTTTCCATCAATTCTACTTCTTCTTTTTCTTCACTGAATACAAAAAGTAATAGTGGTATATCAACAGTTATTTATCCAATAAAAAAATTAATCAAATTTGGATAGAGTGTACAATTCTGTTGTATTTTTTTTTTGAATATTTTCATGTTTGAGCAAGTTTGTGTACATTATTTGGAATCATGTTACCACAACATTTATATTCCCATTACGATTGGCTTCTATAATAGGGTTTTCCCGTATAATAAGTAAATAAAAAATATACAAAAATTATTTAAAAGATAATACACTAATTTGTAACTTTCATTTTAAAAACAAACAAACAAACAACAACACTTAAGTAAATCAAATGACAAGTATTGAGTAATAATTAATATCCAAACTTAATGAATTTGCACTTCTTTGTATTCATGTTAGAGAACTAATTAAGCCATAATGAGTTCTATCAAATGGAATAAAGAATAAATCATTTTGATGAGAATATCTTACTGGTACTCAAAACTGAATTGATTCAACAAGTTTGGAACAATATCTCAGAAATTTATTTTGAACAGACTCTAAGTACCTAATATGTAGATCATAAAATGGAGACCAAACTGGCAACCTATATTCCAATATTGACCTAACATAAGTAACATAAAGTAATTTTGTAACACTTGTTGAGTGACATACATCAATCATGCAGTGCATTAATATCACTTTGTAAAAATAACAATCTTTAGGTTATCAGTATAAAGTACAAAATTACCAGGTATATTGGAAAATATCTTTAATATATAATAAGAACAAAATGGTCCCAAATGAGAACCTTGTGAACCCCTGAGAATATGTCATATTGCATAGCTATATACCCACTATTTGAACTGTTTTTTAAACAGCTTTCAAGCAAGGTTAGAAAAGCATAAGGCCAAGTTTTTTTAATTTAAATAGCAATATAGTATATAGTGTAATTAACACAGTCAAAGGTTTTACTAAAATCAGAATATATTATGTAAACTTTCATAAAATTTTTAAAGAATATTTTATTGATAGACCATCAGATTGGTAACTATCCACAATACAACTGGCAGTAAAACCTTGTTCTTGATTAATTTATCATCAGGAAATATTACATTTGGTAAAAAGGATTTTTAAATCCAGAAAAACTTTTGAGTTATCATTAATAGAGTTGACAAAGTGAAAAATATAATTTCCAAAACACTATTCAGATTTTAATAGACAGAATACATTGTAATCATTAATGTTCCCATACTTTTTATACTTATATCTGATGTGTTTCTTTACAATAGTAGAATAGTACCTAAGTCTTTTTAATTTTGCTGAGAACCAAATAGGAAAACTATTTATTCATTTTAAAGGCACATAACAGCTTATTGCATTTCTTAATATTTGATAAAGATTTATCAACAGCAGAGTACAGATTATCAACTGCAAGAAATAACTCCCAATTGATAAGTGCAAAGTAATTATTAAAACCAAAGTATTCAGCATTATTAAAATCCTAATAATATTGAACACATTTTTAAGATGATTTATAATAGGTTGGGCCTTAATAGTACAAGATGATGACCATTTGGTAGAAGTAAATACTCACCTAATTTTACAATTACAAACTCATGTTTCTGTTTCTGAGAAGAAACTGTCCAGAAAAAACTAAATCTAGCAAAACTCTGTTTGCATTTCTAACATGTTTTAATTGTCTAATATTATAGAAAGGGAAAAAATCACATATAATTATAGCAAGTAAGTGCTACTAACATTTTTTAGATAGCTTAATAGATACAAAAATTTCCTCAACCTTACCATTGCTGATATTATTTAGCTATTAAAATATTAAAAAATTTACTTTACTGATACAAAGTAGAATAATTGTGATGCTTAGTGTGTGTAAAGAAAAGCTCAGTAAAGTATGAATTGTCTACATGTTTGAAGTGAAAGTAACATGGATGTCTTTAAAACAACATGCTAATATAAATCTGGTTCAAGATCAGCTAAAATACTCGTGGTATATTTTTGAACAAAAATTCAGTTGAAATCTCTATAAAGACCTCAACATATAACTACTAAACTTCAGATGGGCATGAACATTAGCAGAATATGTCTACATCTAATTATTTTTTGTAGTGGACATGGGACAAGTCTATAATTAATAAACATTTATTACTTACGTATCTTCTAAAGTTCGATCATCATGCTCATAAAAAGTTCCCCGTTTTGGGATATATTGAGGATTTTTTTTATCTTCATCATCATCAACCTTTTTGTTTGGTATGCTCTCTTGACCATCACCTTCTTCCCTTTCAAGTATGAAACTGCCATCATCAGAATTACTGTTTTCATCATTATCAGAACCTCTAGAACGTTGTTTTGTATTTGTATCATTATCACTGTAACTATCGGCATCTGCACTGTCGTACTCGGAATTATCTGGCGACCCTTTATCCTCAGGAACAGCACCATTGGCTTCCTGTAAAATCATCTTTCTATTACTGAGAGCGAAAGAGATTGTACGTTTCCAACTGAAGCAAAAGGCTTTGCTCTACTTAATATTCTCGACCTAAATTTTCTGATTCTAATACACCTTTCTCTTTACACTTTCAAATTCTGTCGCTGAGTTTTTAACTTACCTCTCGGGGAATTTCAGTTACCAACGCATCCATTACCTCAATAAAAAATTATCTGGCCTGCAATATAAAATATAAGTCGTAAGAGATATTTTTTTTTTAAATAGTGAACTTACTTTATATCTAACCAATTACTGAAATTATACACATTCTTAATTCATTGTACTCATTATACACAATTAATGAAGAAATGGAGAGAGAGATATAGTGACATATGTCTATGATAAATTTTATCTGTCAGTTTTTCTTCTTCTACTCTTCTTCTTTTTAATCAAAATTACTGCGTGTGGGATTTGACAAGGTCAATGATATTAATTCGATAGATTGTTCAAAGCGAGTCGCATCGTAAGCGGCCATATTGGCGTGTTTCTACTAAAGATACCTATAAAATATTTTGCTGAATATTCGAATTCTTCTATATCCTGGGATACAGGCGGACATTTGGTTGGATATCCATATTGGATATCCACAGAATATATTCTGTGGATATCTCTGGGATTTCTTGTATTGTCTGGAAGATACTCATTAGATATTTTGCTGGGTATCCATATGATATCTTCTATATTCTGGATATAGACGGACATTTGGATATCCATATTAGATCCAAGGAATATTTCTGATATCCTGTGGATATATTGGATATCCACAAAAGATATTCTGTGGATATCTCTGGGATTTGGTGTGTTGTCTGGGTACTGCTAACGAGGTAGCCACTAAACTAGAATTAAAACACTTATCATCTCCTTTATACCTCGTACCCTACAGTACCCTGAAAGAAAACGGTTAAGAACCGGCAATAAGAGAAACACAGGAATAAATAACAAAATATATTTACACAAAAATATAACAGCTAGTGCGCGGTATACAGGAAATAAATTCTTAGTGAACAAAATTAATTAAATACAACAGCTGAAAGTTACAGGAAAATAATTAGAGTTACTCCTGTATACGGAAAATAAATAAAATTATAAAAATACCACAGTTGAAAGCTACAGGAAAATAATTATAGTTCCCCCTGTATACGGAAAATAAATAAAATTAATTAAATATAGCGGTTAGAAAATCACAGGAAAACAATTGTAACCATTTTGTTTGGAATGCCTAATTGTTATTGTGAATACTGTATGTTTCCCCAAATCATTATACCTGATAATAAATTGAATATTCATTATTATTTTTCTAAAAAAACCATTTTATGAAATTAATAGAAGAATACGGAAAAAGAATGTCAGTTTACCAATATTTAAATAATTTAGTAACAGTTCATTCGACATTAATTGTATTGACGTCTCTATCATAAAGGATTTATAGGAGAGTAAATTTAAAGATGCTTTCGTGAATTAAGCTATAATTAAGTGTTCTCTGTCTATGAAATGAGACGGATGTTAAAATAATTGATAATCGCAAATTTCTGCATACGCGTAGTTTTACTTATTTATTTATTTTATTTATGAATTAATTATCTGTCAAAGAAGGATTAATTTTATCTATATCACTGGCATCGAAGCTTAAATTGGCTGATTGAGATTGCCCAAATTTGTCATAATATATCATATCAGATTGCATTCTTTTGATGAAGACCATGGTTGACAGTGACGGCTCGTGGCCTATTCTACTAGGGAAACTTTTGAAAGGCACTTAAAATACAGGGTGTCCCGAAATTAGAGGGTCATATTTTAACAGCGTAATCTACATGCTAAAATAAGAGTAAAAGTTTATATAAACATAGGTCCGAAAACGTTTGGTTTTCGAGATATAGGGTGTTAGAAGTTAAATCCTGAAGACACTTTTTTATATTATTTATTATTTCCTTTATTTAGCTAGTTGGCTAATATCACAAATATACAAAGCACATTGGCAGTCAAGAGTGGGGGGTGCAAGAAGTGATGGCGGTGGTAGCGTCATAGATAAATTAATATAAAACAAGATGAATTTATTAAATGCCCGCCACTGTCAACACGGCGTAGTTCCCAGCATACTATTAGTTAGCGCCACCATCGCAATAGTATGAAAGCGATGTTGCCGGTTTCCGTAAACTTTCATGAGATGATAGTTATTTCAAATTCATTTTATTTTAATTTTTTATCAATCTACATGCGCACCATACCATCCATACAATGTCCATACCAGTGTTGCCAGTTTGTTACAATTGTAACAAATCTATTACATTTATGAAGAGTTTATTACATTATTACATGTCCAATAAGTCTATTACATTATTACATTTTCATGAACCTCCAACGATTGATGAATATAAACCTTAAACGTGTGTCCTGATTTTCATTTTACCGTTTACTCCAAACAAATTACAATAATAACAATAAACCAAGCTTAAAATGCCATTTTTCCATTAACAATGTCATTTTAAGCTTCGCCTTATTCTTATAACTACCAAAAAGTACAAAATATAACTATAAAAGAAAAATCACTCGCGGCATTTACAAAGGAAGTCGCGCTTCAAATGCGGGCCAACAAGTCGGCGTTTTTTCAAAGAGTACAGAGCTAATTGGGCTATACCCAGATAGCACAAATACGTCTTATGGACGTTCTAAAAACGTCCTGCTTGGACATTCAGGACATCCTTAAAACGTCCATTTCACGGACGTGGACGTCTTATGGACGTCTTTGGAACGTCCATTGTTAATAATCAGTATATCTTAAGAACGTCCATTTAAGGACATTCCATGGACATTTTCAAAAGCTCGAATGAGGAATAATAGGATGTAAGGAAATTAGTGAAAATATTGAATAATTTCAAAAAAATTTATTTGGAAGCAAATAACCTATAAATAATAGAATTATTGAAACTTTTTCGTCAAATTCATTCAGTCTCTCTTCTACTTTACGCTTTTTAACCATGCCTGGATTGACAGCAGTTGTTTTTTCTTGATTTGGCCATATTTGCCTTCTCAGTTGAACCTGAAAATAATTTAATCGCTTATTCAAAATGAAAGGCAGATCAATATGAAAATTCAATCTGTTAAAGTTTGCTCTGCTAGACATTATGAATTCACTAACCTTTTATCTTTGAAGTAGTCACTGGAAATCTCCTCTACTTTACTCTTTTCATTCATGCCTGGATTGACAGCAGTCAGTTTTTTTCTTGATTTGACCATATTTGCCTTTTCAGTTGAACCTGAAAATAATTTAATCCCTTATTCAAAATGAAAGGTAGATCAATATGAAAATCCAATCTGTTTGTTAAAGTTTGCCCTGCTACACATTATGAATTCACTAACCTTTTAGCTTTGTAGTATTCACTAAAAAACTCCTCTACTTTATTCTTTTCAACCATGTCTGGATTGACAGCAGTCATTTTTTTTTCATGATTTGGCTATATTTGCCTTCTCAGCTGAATCTAAAAATAATTTAATCACTTATTCAAAATAAAAGGCAGATCAACATTAAAATACAATCTGTTTAAGTTTTCCTTCACTAACCTTTTAGCTTTGTAGTATTCATTGGATAATTTCCACCTTTCTCAAACATAAAAATGGTACAAACTGCAAAAAATTAATATTCATCAACCACAAACTCGAGTCGAATCACAGTCAAATGGCGGGATGATGGAACTTGTACTCCTATAATATGTATATACCATCGAATCATGAACATTGAACACATGTTTTTTTCTTTTTTTTTTATAAAACCTGAGTCTTGAGAATATTTTAGTGCTTGAATCTTTAATAAATAAAAATAAAAAATAAAATGACACTTGTCAACAATGTCTCTTTCTTGGATATTGGGACAATGTTATCTTTAATAATTATTTATATTATCTCATTATATATGTTTTTTATATAATATAACCAAATAATAATGCAATGCGAATATGAATCCATGAAAACACAGTAAGCACGTAAAATTAACGTTTTGCGGATATCTATTTCTTGACGTCCCGAGACTTTACTAAATTGGACGTACTTAAAACGTCCCTAATTGGTCCTGGACGTACAGACGTTAAATGGACATTTAATGGACCTCCTTAGGACGTCCTGTGCTATCTGGGTACCGGGGTTAAGCGGTAAGACGCGCGCGGCGCACAGTACTTAAAATACACAGCGGAATCTAACGTAGCAAAGCAAACAAGCCTTACGCGCTGAACTACACCGGTATACAGCCGATCGAGAAAGGACTGTGGAGGACTGGCGGCTGATCGCGTTAGAAGGCAGTAATTGGGCGAGTGACTCCACTTTTATAGTTATATTTTGTACTCTTTGTAACTACGAGCGGTGCAAATGGCCCCTAGTTTCTGAAGCTTTGTCAATGCGCGCTTGCTTCGCTCGATCCTTTCCCTAGTAATTAGTCCATTAGTGGGACAAGCGTAGCTAATTATTTTGGTGTAGTTGTAAAATGGACGCGCAGATATGCTCTGCTATTTTTGCAAATAACTTTTTATATTTATGATAAAGAAATTCAAAAGCTGCGACAACCGCTATACATACACAAGTAGTGCAAAAAAATACGTTGACTAAAATTTCTATTACATTTTCTTGAAATTTATTACAATTTTGAGAGTTCCTCTATTACATTACTTCAGAATGCTCTGGCAACACTGGTCCATACTATTGCTGAGATTTTTAAAAGACGGGATTGACAACCTTGTAAAAAATGAAAAACGTGATGGCGGAAGGCGGGATATGATGATAAAATAAAACTTATTTTTATTTTATGATGTAAGTTACATAGGTAGGTAAGTTATTTTTAGGTTAAGAAACAAACGGTGCTGATTTGATGTAATTAGTAAGTATTAACTTTAATTTAATATTAAGTATTTAAGGACTTTGTTTATCATTGTTTTCTTAGCCTTAACGATATATAGGTATCTAATTTCATATTTCAACAATTCCTTTTCTAATATTTGAAACAAAAATGTCTGGCCCGGGTATAGTTAAGTATTCTTGTTCAGCTCCTAATTGTTTAAATAAGTATTATTCTAATATTCAGCAAGTTGGTTATTCAAATAAAGCATTTTTTCATTTTCCTTCTGATGTTAAAGTTCGCCAGAACTGGTTTAAGAATTTAAATTTAACTTTAGATGATAATAATACTCGCTATCTTTGTGAAGATCATTTTTTGCCAGTCTTTTAGTAAGGTTTCCTCAAAACGTAAACGACTAGTTGTACATTCTGTACCAATTTCTTTAGATAATTATGCATCCAGTTCAAATATACAACCCGAGAGCCAGATTTCAGAATATATTGAGGCTGAAGCACAAAAACAGCAGCATAAGATAGATTTGCTAATCAGCAACGAAAATCAAGAAATTAGTTGCAAACGTAAACTAAATATTAGTGATGTACAATTTGAACAACCCTCCAAACGGAGAAAAACTGTTTTGCAACAAATAAATGAAAGTAAAGTCAAAAATTTAAGTCCCAAAGAGAAAAAGCTGTATTTTATTAATAGAGAACAAAACGTTAGAATTTGTAAGCTAAAGAAAGCTCTACGTGTTTCCAAAAATAAAATCAAGAAAGCCTTTGAATTATCCAAAACTCAGTTATTTTCAGATTTTAATAATAAATTAGATCCGATTGGAATTAAATTCTTTAAAAGTAGTTTAGAAAATTGTAAGAGAAAGAAACCCTCTTGGACCACTCAGAATAAAATTTTTTCTTTAGCATTATATAAAAATGGTCCAAGAGCATATAATTTTTTAAGAAAATGCATTTCGTTGCCTAGTAAATCTACTATCCAACAAATTTTAAGTGATTTACATTTTGAAACGGGGATAAATGATTCAGTGTTTTCCAGATTTAAAGAAATTGTTAGAAAAATGCCAGAAATTGATAGGAATTGTATTTTAATGTTCGACGAAATAGCTCTAACCGAAAAACTCACTTTTGATACAGTTAATGACAAAATTGTTGGATATGTTGACTGCGTCGTTCTCAATCTTCGTCAAATAATTAAAAATAACTTAGTTTTATAAAAATGGTCAACATTTTGATAAGAGAAATTGTTCAATAACATATATGTACACATTTTGTTTTGTTTTTATAGGAAACACCTGACGCCCATCAAAGTATGGTCCATTTTTACAAGAATGTGGGGAAACTAGTATTCATTTCACTTACAATTGTTCTTTATTAACACATTATGTATGTATTACTGTATAATAAATAATTTAAATGTATTTGTCTTATATTTTATTTCAGTGTAAATATTTTTTGTCTACATTTTTGTATACATTTTTTGGGGTTTTATAACTAAAAAAAAACTAATATATATGTTAAATACAATATTTTAATATAAATATTAGTTTTTCTTTTTAAAGTAATGAACCCCAAAAAATATAAATAAATAAATAAAGATATTTAAATGAACCGCGGTTACGTTAACACTCTTCTTTTTTTATGCCTCTTACTGACAAATCAATCAGCCAGTGTAGTTCAAAAAAGATCCGTTCCATACTAATTCGCAGCACTACGTTTCCAAAGATTAACACAGAATCCGACCATCTTCTTTATTAGTTTATCTATGGGTAGCGTACCGTCGGCTGCACGCTGCACTCTCCCGGGCAGAACGAGTCACAGACCTTTTATATATTGTTTAGAACGAGTTGAGTTGCCTTGAGATCGCCCATCACTATTTAATAGCACATTTGTTAAAAGCATAAAATGATCTGAAATTCTTGGTGTTTTGATAACCTCAGCTGAAAGCGAGCATTATTTGTTATAACTAAATTTATTAGTGTACCTCCACCACTTCCATTTAGTCTTGTGCATTCTGTAACAATATTTTTTATAAATAATAAATTTTCTTTAAACGTTTGAAACCACTTGAATGAACAATATCCACACAAATGGATAGGCAGAGGTAATGACGCACCTGTAAACTGGCCACCACGTTCCCCAGACCTAACACCGATGGATTGCTTTTTATGGGGACATCTGAAATCCACAGTTTACAGGGAACCTGTAGAAAATGAGGAACAACTCTGACAACGTATTCAAGATGCAATAAACAATCTTAGAGGTGATGAAGTTATGGAAAAGATACATTTTAATTTTCTTCGACGTATAAATGATGAACATTTTGAACAATTTTTGTAAAATCTCTATTTTGATTATGTTGTAAATAAATATTTTTGTGAAACCTATACACTCTAAATTATTAAAACAGAAATTTAGCGAAAACCATGAGAGTAATCGAGTCTTATCAAGAGTACCTTTTTTAAAGTAAATGAGTTGTGCAATCTAAATTTCATACTCAAACTCCTTTTCTTCCATTGGCGTAGAATTTTTAAAGGTGCAATTATTTAAAAAATCAAGTTCTACGCCTATGTATTATTATCGGACAAAATTTTAATACTATTTTTTTTGCCACATAAAACTCTACCAATATACCAAATTTCAGCAAAATCGCATATGCCGTTTTAAATTTATATCGGAAAAACGATTTAAAAATTGTAACTTCAAGGCCCTCTGGAGCCCAAACGAAGCAACTTTGTAGTAAGGTAATTTTACTTAAATCGACTTATTTTGGTCTAAGGAATATGTGGTATGTTTTTGTAAAGACCTTTTACAGACACCCTGTATATTTTAAAGTAGTATATGTGAGAGAAATAAAAGGACCCTAAAATTCGGTGGATGAAATCGAAAATCGGTAAACTGGCAACGCTGGCTAAGATAATAAACATACTCATTGTCTAGAATGGGACCTGGAGCGAAGGCGGAAATTTTCACAGCCATGTTTGGTGTAAAAATTGTTTATCTGCGACCAATTTCATCTTATTAGACCACCCAAACACTTGAATCGAGAGCTTTAAGGGTATCATACTATCATACTTTCGGCAGGTATTGTATGAAACAAGATTTGTGGGTGTTAGTAGATTTGTAAGAATTTTAATTAAATGTATTGTAATCTTTGATAAATACCGCATAATCAAATTACAAACAAAAAAAGCTAACGATATGATTTGTATCAATGTATTAAATCGTTGATATAACAGATGTTTGAATAAACAAATCTGTATATAAAAATGGAATATCCAAAGTGCTTTATTCAGTTAATTAGTGTGAATATTTCAGGTAATTGCCTGCAACAAACCTGATAACATGACTGTCACCATGGTAGGTACATCTATTATTGTGGTTCCTAAATATATTGTATATCAGGTGAATCAGTAGGTACATATTTGATACATTAATTCAAATTGGCCTTAATTTATTTTTAGATAATTTTGCAAATGGTACTTCTTGCTATAGGAGTATATTCATTATCAATAGATTCTTGGGATGTAAATGACTGGGAATTTATCAATGGATTAAATAAACCTGATTCTTTTAAAACAAAATCTATTTTCGAAGACTTCAACATAAATGAGGTCACTAGAAATAAGGTAAGAAAAATTTACAGTAACGATTCAAGCACTATAAGGATATTACTAGTGATTAGGCTTTATTTATTAACATATTTTTTAGAAAAGTGCTCCTCGTTGTGCAGTCAAAATGGTAGCAAAATATCATCCTAATGATGGTTTCGATTATTATCCGAAAAAGTACCACGAATATGAATGCGTTCCAGTTACCAACGATTTATCGGTCATAGATACCGATTTTCCATATCAGGTAAAATTAAATAAAATATATACTTATTTATCTATGTTTCGCTTGACAAACTTCTTGTAGTTATCCCAAAAATTGAAATTTTCGTCCTAGTTTCATAAATTAGTTACTATTTTTGTTCACATATTATTTATCGATACAAAAACAAAAGTAGAAAAAAAACTCGTTTGTTTTATTAAGTAGAGAAAAACGTTTGAACACGTTGATTTTTAAACTCCGACGGATTCAAAGTTTAGGTATTCTTACACCTTCAATTCTTTAAATAACAAGAGTACCTATGGCTCTTCTATGATAAATTCAGGAAAATGACTATGCATTGGCCATTATGGATTTAATTGTCCCCACCATTATAAAATCGGCTCTAAAAGAAACTAAAACTATGCCCCCATTTAATTATCGGGCGTACCCTAGACTTGCATATACAGGTGTCCCATTATCGGGACGGTGGTGTAGCGGTCTATCGCGCTTATATTTATTTATAGGCAAGTTTATGAGTCTGAGACTGTTGGGTTTCGAATCCCAGACCAGACCATGTGGATTTTTAATTAAATTGCATGGTTTGGTTTAGGATTTGATGTGTGGCGTATTAATAGAAATTCAGTTTCGCCATACATTACCGCCTCGATGATGGTGGGTGAGGTTTTCCGGGTTTTCCTCATCTGTAAGTCAAATGGCACCATCAATCATCTTTAAGTCGCCCCGGAGCGCCACGGCAAATAATAATAATAATAATAACCGTCCCTTCCCCTACAAAAGTCGTTCAGTCGACTTCAGGGGTTGAAATTCACTCGTAAGGGGGTGAATTAGGGAGAGAATTATTAAGAATGGGACACAGGACAACATTATTTCCTATATTCCTATAATATTAATATTCCACTAAACCCCCAGTAGGCGGTGATAAGCAATTAATTACTTTTCCAAATGATGACGTAGCTGTGTTCTTCTAATTGTAATCAGACCCTACCTTCCCTTATGGTAAAGATTTTAACTTAAAAATATGTATATGTTAGTTAATCGTTAACACACTTTATTTCGATAAATTACAATAACCAATTGACATAGAATCAAGGTGGTTTTGAAAACAATTTTCATCCAAACTTTTTAGACACCCTATATTACATAAAATTTAAGATTTATAATTAAGTCCTACTCATACATGAAATATATGTACAATTTTATCAACAGCCGATTTCATAATGAATATTAAAAGCTACATTATCTAACGGGACCAAGAGTTTATAAATTTAATGGTCCCATTAATGGACTTTTTAATATTGATTATGAAATCAACCCTTAATAAAAATTTGCATTTTCTGAATTGCTATTTCCATAAAGTGCAATCTTAAAATATTTTTTTAAAATAACTTTGACGTTTTTCAAAATTTTGAGGAAAAAGATGTGATATAAATTCAATAAAAAAGAAAAAGTATCTTAATTGTTTGTATTAATAAATTTATTAGTTTTTTTTTAATCTACTGGGAATTTGTGAGACTTGGAGATTGTATACACTTTGAATCTATACCCCTCAATTATTAATATCAACTTTTGTGAAATATAGAGTGTACTTTATTTTGAAACACTCTGTATAACATACCAACATAAACATATGTTAAAAAAAATTAAAGGTTGAAGGGGGCTGATAGGAATACAGAAACTTTGATACGTCGGATACACCGATGAGTTTAAAAATCAACGTGTCCTAGCATTTTTTTATTCTTTAAAATATACTACAAAGTAATAAGGCTGGAAAAACAGAATTGTAAAAAAAATATTTTTTCCCTTTGATAAAATTTCACCCGATGATTTCTCAATCAAATCTTGCACTATATTTTTTCGTTTTACCCATTTATTAAAATCATAGATAATAACATTAAAAACACCTTTTGTTTAAAGACTTTTTTTTAATGATAAATAACAGAAATATACTTGGTCAAAAATTACATGTTTATTGGAGGCCTGTTCCTACAGCCACCAAAACCAATCACTTCCTTACAAAATTAATTGAAATCTAAAAAATCTAAATTAAATTTGAATAACAAATACAAATTAACTATATTATCAGTATTATCCGTCAGTATTATACGCAGTAGATTTATGTCATGAAATTCCTAAAGCCGACCTTATCTAAAGCAACTTGATACCCGACTCATGCTCCCAGGAATGCCGCTGACGCACTAGAAACGGCTAGAACGGGCGAAGAGTACCGTTGAGTCAGAAATGGAATTTTCGGGAGCGTCTAGAGTATTCTGATTACAAAGTTGGCTTGATATAAATATCGCGAGTTTGAAGACAGTAGTCAGTTGATTATAGACAGTTTAGTATAGAATATTGGAATGCAAAGTTAAAGTGTAATAAATAAATTAGAACTATTAGTTAGTGTCTAAGTATTATATAAATTAAATAGTACGTCATAAATAAATTGTAAATAAATAAACAATAAATAAATTAGACTATCGTAACATTATATATTATATACTGACCGTGCTTGATTGACATATTTCTCTGTGAAACAAGGGCACTTATTTTTTTGTAATTTAAAGAATTTAAGAAGGGGTAAATTTTAATTTTAAGTTACTGTTTTAGGGAATTTGTTTGGCACAATCTTGTGAACCAGTGCAAAAATTTAACTTTTTCCTCAAAAGAAAAATAGGACATAATTGTTGGCAGAGGGACAAGATTGTAATAAGCGCTGGATGTACTTGCATGTCGGAGTTGTATTAATAGGTACCTAATCTTTTTTCCTTTAAATTTTACTTAAAAAAATATGCATACAAATATTCTCTATATGTTGATTATTTTTGATATATTGCAAGATTTTGATTGACCTTACCCTTGTGCTTATACAGAGTAACTAATCCAGAACGTACCAGAGCCATTATCAGGAATTGCGTCAATTTTTGATTAATGGCAGTCATATTTCTATCATATCCCACATACTTTGATTTTCTTTTACTATACGGAGAATGGTCGCACTGCGCAACTTTCTGAGTGCCTTTTAAAAGGAGATAGAAAACTCCGCCATTTTGAACCCTTATTACGTGTTGCCTACATCTTGGCGCAATATTTTTAATAGGTGCGTTTTAATCATCCGCTTCTGCTTCGGAATTGTCGGTTTTCTTGTTTTAATCTGACAGGTTATAACGACTGAACCGACAATTCCGGAAGCAGAAGCGGATGATTAAAACGCACCCGATATTTTGCTTGCTGCTGTCAATTTTTGGAGTCACAGTTTATTGCTAAAGAATCAGTTAGCTCACTCGGACCAGTTGAAAGTTCCAAAATAACATCCACTCCAGGGATACAAATTCAAGATACGCAGAAGACTGCTGTTTTATTACAGGCGGTTGTCATATATTGTATTATCTGAGTTGCGCAGTGTATAAACTGGAACATTGAGATAAAAAGTGCCGACGCAGAGTGAGCGATCTGATTCTTTAGCTATAAACTGTGTCATAGGGTTCAAAATGGCCGCGCCCTATGTTGGGCGTGTCGGACCTCTCTCTTGCCCCGTATAGTAATCAAAGTATGTGGATTTAAATAGAGAAAGTACCAAGTATGACACAACATTGACAAAGTAATTTTGATGTTGATTTTGTTTTTAACTTCTTCTAGCGGTATAAGAAACAGGTAATGTAAAGGGTGATACTTTATTCGAAACCAAATTTTATTAGTAATTTAATGCGTAGCTTTGGTTGAATGCAATTAAAATTTGCATTAACATTAAAGCTCTCCAAGATTTATTTTTCAATTATTTAAGTTCACGTTTCATTCAATAATTATGTTTTTTTTTTTATATTGTGCAGTAAATTATTAATTAAATAATCTTTCGAATAAAGTGTCACAATATACCCCCGCTAGAGGGCGTTAAGTATCGTAATGAAAAGTCATATTTGATACATTTTCGTCTGGTCATCCTGTATAAATAATCGTATCAGACAACGCTTGTAGATAGGCAACTTATATTATCTTAGTGTATTGTGCACAGTAAAGGAGGTAACGCATTAGGCAATCGCGTTCCCGTTGCATCGCGGACTGTGCTAGTATTGACCGCGCGCAATGAAAGTATTTTCCTCCTATCTTTTCAAAGAATCTCGGCAGACCGCGATTGTCTAATGCATTCTCTCCTTAAGAGTAAGCACAAATTCTAGAAGATTTGTGATTATGTTCTACTCAACTCATCATATGGTTAAAAATATTTTGTATTTTTTTAGGACGTATGTTTTGTAACCGACAAGGAATGTGAAAGTATAGAGAAAAAAGTTATATTTGCAAGAAAACATAACTCTTCACGGGTCTGCGGTATGGAGCCCCATCACAGGCCTCTAAAAGTTGGTTGTAGATGTATCCATCATTATAAATATCACTTTCTTTAAATTTAATATACTACTAAACATTACTTGAGCCCCTGCCATGCCATGTAAATCTAAAAATAATAAATTTCTGATATATTTGCATGTTTTATCGATATTATCATTGTATTTAAATATTAGTCTTATCTATTGGTGAATCTCCCTAGGGATTGAGTAAATAAGCTAATGACTCGGCTAGGCAGGAAAATCTTTGCGAGACCTAGCTAGTTTATAACTTTGCAGATAGGTGGCACTGCGTGTCACATTACAAAAGTTAAACTATTTCATATGGTCGACTTGCCGAAATTTGTAAACTGGAATTTCAGTATATAGAGAATTTCGGCCAAGTGCGACCCCTTTTATGGCGGACCCAGGAAGGGTTTCATGGCCTTGGAGCTCCGACACCTTGTCGATTTCGGACCAATTGAAAGAGACCAGAGACGGTTGTAGGCAAAACAAACGGCTTAGGTAAAATGTTGGAAGTATTTCAACAAAAACTTTTATAAAAGGAAGTGTTCTAGCCTTTATCTTGTTTTGACAGATACACTATTAGGAATCGGCCTAAACACTCTTAGCAAAAATAAGTTACATGTATCTTATTTGCTTTTGGTAGACACACTACCCAGACAGCACACCAAATCCTTTGGATATCTACTGAACATCCCAATATCCACTGAATGTCCAGTCCATGGTGGATAATAGTAATTATATAGCAAATTATTAAAAAATTACGCCATTGTGCTCGCCATTGTGGCTAATAGTACCGTTCAGATATTTAAAATTAATTTTTTTAAGGTGTATTCAATATCCCATGGACATCCACTAAATATATCAAAGTCTAGGCGCGAACGCAAACCATCGTGGATATCCACTGGATGTTATTTGATTTTGCTTACTAAGTATAGATGGCGATACAACTTTCGCATCTACTCATGCTCGACCCGCCGTAATTGAGTTCGATCGAAATTTTTGTTCTATCCATTAGAGACTGGAGTCGAGAATTTCCATTTATTGCTGAAGAGTCCTAATAAGATGACTCTCTCCTTAGTGGGCAAAATCAAAGGCAGAGTGTTGAAAATATTTTTTATCTCTGCTATTTTCTTTCGACGTTATTCAATAATCATTGGTTACTTATGAATATCTACTAAAGATAAAACATGTTGCTGAATATCCGAATATCTTCTATATCCTGGGATATAGACGGACATTTGGTTGGATATCCATATTGAATATATTGAATATCCACAAAATATATTCTGTGGATATCTCTGGGATTTCTTGTATTGTCTGGAGATACCCATTAGATATTTTGCTGGATTGGATATCTTCTATATTCTGGATATAGACGGACATTTGGATATCCATATTAGATCCACGGAATATTTCTGATATCCTGTGGATATCTCTGGGATTTGGTGTGTTGTCTGGGTAGGTACCTAAAGAAACCGAACTATTTTTGAAAGTTCGAAATTATTTGTTTGGTATTTAAAATTACCTCCATACAAAAAAAAATTATAAAATGATGTATCAACTTAGATAAAAGATGTATCAACAATGAAAAATTGTAATAGTTTTGGTGAAATCAATAACTGACAGTAGCTCTCCGATAGTCAAAACCCTCAAATGGTACACAGTTAGGATTGTCAGATTTAAGACAAAAGTGGGACAACGGTGACGACAGGTCCTAAATCAGGTCCTTTTTGCAAGCTTCTAAAAAAGGTTCTCGGTTTTTATTTTTATAAACCAGGTCCTCATTTTTCTGAGGAGCTTAAAAAAAAAGGTTTTACATCTTCAAAAAATTCTTTAATTATAACTTTGTATATTAAATAGCGTGGCATTTGGGTAAAAAGCGTGACATATTCGTACTTTGGCGTGACGCGTGCAAGCAAGTGAAAAAGCGGGACAATTACGCCTAAATCGGGAGGTCTGGCAACCATATACACAATAATTGACAATTACTGAAGAGTAGGTACCTACCTAACTCAAATTTTTTAAATTAGTGGAATATAATTAGAATTCACACTGTATTTATATCGTATTTAATTTGTCCCGTCAAAGCAAACACGAGAACATAGAAGAGCAAATATAACCACAGTAAAAATCAATTTTTGTTCAATATTGGAATAGGATTTCGATTACGGTCTCGGTCCTTGCACATTAATATCGTACTATCAAATTAGTTATCGATAATTTATCTCTTTTGCCATATTTGTGACGAGGAAAATAAACGTGTGCTCTTGAATAATAGCTCCAGTTTATATTTCGTCTACGTAAAAATGCGTAAATGTACGACGCACTTTCCCAACGCAAAAATGATATTTATTGTTTTTTTTTTAATAGAGTGGTATACAAAACATGTTTCTAAAGTAGGCCTAGGAAAAAATATGTTGTAGCGCACAATAAATGACTGACAGTTCCAATTTAATTCAGAGCCAAATGGTTATCGTCTATATTAGAAAAAAAGTTTTGGAGACTCACACGTTACAACCAGTATTATGCATGTTGTTATACTCTTTACACAGTAGTCTGTGAAGAGTATGCGTTTAGTTCCGTCCGTCCAATGTCATGTTTTTTGTCCGCACGATAAGTCAAAACCGAACAAAGATATCTTAAAAATTTCTACAATTACGAATTCTTGTTTATTTTTTAAAAAATCTGATTAAAAATGGGACGATTAAGATGGGTTAATATTTAAAAAAAATCTACTACTGATAAAAAATCACCAATGAAAATTTAAACATACAAGCATTCCGCGTTAAACTTGAACAAATTAAATAAATTGGGCAAAAATTCAAACTTCGGATAACGTATAATATGCTTTCTAAATAAATTTAAAAAATGACTTCATTACACTATACTTTAAATTCCTTTATTTTCAGGCAGACATTAAAGTCATTCTGTTTTTTTTTTAACTTTGAGAAATGGGTGCGTGTACGTAAAAGAAAGGTATATAGAAAATAATTATAATTTCGCCCTCAATAACAATAGCATAAGCGCTGACTACGTAGCAGTCCCGGGGTCAAGGCCCCCTCACAAATATTCCCGTTTTCATGAAAAACATACATTTAAAATTAAATTGATATTTGTAGTTGCTCAGTGGCAACAAATTAGAAAAACACGAAGACATCAATGAACCTCGTAGAGGTGAAGATTTTTTTTTTAGCCAGCGACAAAATTAGAATACAATTAGATTTCGGAAAGAGGTGAGGACTTACGGCCCGTCCGGAGTTAAACATAAGTCGGCGCCCATGAACAGGTAGTATACCTGTTGGTTCAAAAATTGCCTGATAAATGGGTATCTGAGATTTTGATACGCGCCCTCTGAAGGAAATTTGTGACATGTATATTTAAGTAGGACTTTTTCCAGTGTTGCCAGAGTAGCGGGATTTCGCTACGTAAGTGGATTTTAACACCTTTGTAGCAGAAGAAAGAGAAATACATTTTTGTAAGTAGCGAAATTACCAATATACAGAGTGGCTCACGCTCAACGGGACGAGGCTTTATGGGAAAACGACCAAAGATATAAAAAATTCGTTTGGGAGGAATACGTAGGTTACAGACGGCTACAATTTAAAGTTTGTTAGATGTATACAGGATGTCCCACATAAGAGAAAATATACAAAGTTATATTATTTTTAATGGAACACCCTGTTTTTTATTTTAGAATTAAAAACTACATCAAAAATAATGTCAGTTAACTAAAAATTCCCTATTACTATTATTATTAGTTTTCGATTTATTTGAATTTTTAAGGAAAAAAAGTCTCCCAGAAATTAATTGTTTACTCTTGTTTGAATAATTTTTAATGAACTAATTTTTTTTTTCTTATGTGGGACATCCTGTATACATCTAACAAATTTTAAATTGTAGCCGTCTGTAACCTACGTATTCCTCCCAAACGAATTTTTTATATCTTTGGTCGTTTTCCCATAAAGCTTCGTCCCGTTGAGCGTGAGCCACCCTGTATATTTATTTAAGGATTTTTATAAAGCAACCAATAAAGGTTTTCTTTAATTTTATAAGAAAATCTTCATTTACCGTTAATTTAGGTATTTAGATGCAATAATAATAATAATAATAATAATAATAATAATAATAATAATAATAATAATAATAATTAATAATAATAATAATAATAATAATAATAATAATAATAATAATAATAATAATAATAATAATAATAATAATAATAATAATAATAATAATAATAATAATAATAATAATAATAATAATAATAATAATAATAATAATAATAATAATAATAATAATAATAATAATAATAATAATAATAATAATAATAATAATAATAATAATAATAATAATAATAATAATAATAATAATAATAATAATAATAATAATAATAATAATAATAATAATAATAATAATAATAATAATAATAATAATAATAATAATAATAATAATAATAATAATAATAATAATAATAATAATAATAATAATAATAATAATAATAATAATAATAATAATAATAATAATAATAATAATAATAATAATAATAATAATAATAATAATAATAATAATAATAATAATAATAATAATAATAATAATAATAATAATAATAATAATAATAATAATAATAATAATAATAATAATAATAATAATAATAATAATAATAATAATAATAATAATAATAATAATAATAATAATAATAATAATAATAATAATAATAATAATAATAATAATAATAATAATAATAATAATAATAATAATAATAATAATAATAATAATAATAATAATAATAATAATAATAATAATAATAATAATAATAATAATAATAATAATAATAATAATAATAATAATAATAATAATAATAATAATAATAATAATAATAATAATAATAATAATAATAATAATAATAATAATAATAATAATAATAATAATAATAATAATAATAATAATAATAATAATAATAATAATAATAATAATAATAATAATAATAATAATAATAATAATAATAATAATAATAATAATAATAATAATAATAATAATAATAATAATAATAATAATAATAATAATAATAATAATAATAATAATTAATAATAATAATAATAATAATAATAAATAATAATAATAATAATAA